TTGATTGTATTGTGTCGACCATCAAACCGTCAGTCTATACCACAACTTGTAAGAAGTTATTTCATCTCATGATTTTGTCAATAGTCAGCTCTAAGTACTTGATTTGTCTTTCAATAAGTTCAATGACACCATATTCACAATTCTATGTAATACTTCAATTCTCTCTTATGTCAAATTGAGCACCAATCAGTTGATGGAATTTTTATATGAAACATTTGGTCTGTGTGTGCTCGTATATTGATACAGTGATGAAGACAACATCAATGAAATTTGCTTGACAGAGTACTTCAGTTGTTTGCATTCTTTTTCATCCAAGAACCATTGACACTGATTTATAAAATTTCCTGTCATTTAAGCATAATCACTTTGGAACAAAAATTTTGAAGAAATTTGTGGAGAGATCGAGATCAAATTGCTTACAGTTCCATCTTGTGCAATAAAGATGACCACTACGCAATTCAAATAGCGAGGATGGAATACGTCCTTCCAGCTGATTGTGATAAAGATTCAAGAATTCTAATTTTGATATTCATTTGATATCTTCCCATAACAAATCACTAAGGTTGTTGAAATTCAAATCTACCAAATTTAACGTGATGACATTGTTCATGACGTTGGAAACATCTTTAATTCGATTGTTGTTCATCTTAGAGTTGTCAAGCGCGGTAGAATTCTTCAACTATCTACAATGACTTGAAGAAGGTTGATAGAAAGATTTTGTGATCTCTAAACTAACTCTCACTAGGTTCATAACAGATGACTTTTAGGTAGCTCATCATTTATTTAAAAACTAGGATTCTTGAATGTGACTGTGTTTCAAATTCATTCTCACATAAACTCTCCACTCATCATTCAATTGCAAACATATTCAAAAGGATAGTGAAACTCAAACTCATATTAATGAAACAAGTACTCATATATTGAATTCTCAATACTTGCTTGAGAGTCTCTTTTCTACCTCTCTATGTATCATATTTAATAAATTATCATAGTAATTCATGGTACTTAACTCCTAATTTACTTTTATTAAGATAAATCATAGTAGGTATGACTAGTTTCCAATACGTGGCAACATGTCATTGATCTACGTAGATTCTCTAAAAAAATTTTAATCCCTAGATTGAGATGACGACATGATATTCAAGAATTTCAAACTTCTAGAACCTCCACTTGTCACTAAATCAACTTTAGACTTAGTCTAATTAATGAAGTTTTCATTATTTAGTCAGAAAAATCAAAATTAATCATGTAGACAAAGTCTAACTTCCTTAGAATTTAGACTTTGATAGAAACAAAAATAGTTGTGTTGACTCAAACCTTCTAAATTCTTTTAATTAATTTTCCAAATATAAATATCATAGCTAAAAATAGTCATAACTAGATAAAGTTAGTTATAACTAAATAAAATTAGTTATACTTAAGCAAACCATGATCAACTCCTTGGCTATTTCTAATTTTACTTCACACGTACAAAAAATAGATTGCATAGTATTGACAAGGTAAAATCTCCACTTATTGATGTTATTTTGAGGAAGTTTGATCATTATGCGACTCATTATCTATCACAAGAAGTAGCATTGGTACATGTGGAGCAAGTTCCTAAGGAATAAAAACTAGAGTAGTAGTTATTGTTCATGAGACTCTTGTAATAACACCATACTATAGACATAAACCGGAAAGGTCTACTAGGATATCATCAAATTGCATCTTCAAAGATTTAATGTATGGTCAAATTCATACATTGTGATTTTGACAAAGAGTATGGAATGATATTGCATTGATTTTGGGAAAAGGTGAATCTTCTTTGTACAAGAAAGCTCAAGCTTTTATCAATAAGCTTGAATGCAATGTTGTTATGGAGCGGAAGATGTAGTAGATGATTGACAATAAGACTTGACAGCTGGTTGAGCTTTCTAAAAATCCATCACTGATTGACTCTAAGTGGATATACAAATTTTATCTATGAGTATTTAGAGAAGATCTTAATGAGACAACCGCTTGGGTATGAGGTCAAAGGCCAAAAGAGGTTGGTTTGGAAATTGCTGAAGAAATCAATGCATGGACTGAAGCAAGCTCATAAGTAATAGAGCATGCAATTTGATGAGTTCATGAAGGCACAAGATTTTTTTATGGAGTATGCATGATTTCTATATCTACATGAAAAAGTTGAATGATTAGATTTTCAATCTCATTATTGTACTCTGTGTTGATGACATGTTCATTTTGGCAAAGAACCAATTGACATTGTTGAATGCAAGAGTGAATTGAAATATGCATTTAAGATGAAGAATATATATGAGTAAAAATAAACATTAGACATAGGTATTCATATGAATTTTGAGAAGAAATAATATGATTGAGTGAAGGCAAATATATTTTTTATATACTTGACAAGTTCAATATGGTCAATTTTACAAGAGTGTAGACTCCTTTTGTAGCATATTTCAAACTTTTTGCAGCTCAATCTCCTAGCAATATTGTTGAGAAAGAAATGATATCTTGTGTTTCCTATGAACAAGCTGTTGTTAGCCTCCTGTATTTGATGATGTTTTAGGCCTGGTATTGCTCTAGCAATAAACAAAATGAGCAAGTACATGTCGAATCCAAGAAAAATTCATTTGGAACAGTGAAATGGGTTCTGAGATATTTGAAGAGTTCTATGAATTATGAATTACTGTTTGATAGTTTGTTAGACAATGTCAAATCCTTGTTGAGCTATATTGATGTTGATTACAAATACACTTAGATAAGAGATAATCTACATGTGTGTATGTGTTTACACTTGGTGGTGAAAACATTAGTTGGAGATCTACCTTGTAGTAGTAAATGGCTAGTCTACCACGGAAGCTAAGTATGTAGCGGCACCAGAAGCGACAAAAAAGCTATTGGATTGGATAAATTGATCATGAAGATGGGATTGACACAAGGCCTGATCAATGTTCATTATGATAGCTAGAGTACTCTACGTTAAATTGCAAAGCAGATTATGGACAGCATAATGAAGCACATACATATTAGGTTTTATATTATCAAACAAGCATTGTCTAATTAAACAATTGAGCTAGTCAAGATAGAAGATAAACTCAATCCAAATGATGCGTTGATCAAAATTATTCCTCTGGAGAGTTTCAGGATCCATTGTGCTACTATACAAATTATGCATGGGGAACATAGGTAGAGTTTACTAGCATAGTTACTTCAGTTAACTCTTTATATAATATCTCGATCATGTTATGACTACGATATAGTTCTAATTAATTCTAGTTAGATTTTTTTTCTACAATTTATCACAGAATAATTACACAGATTACGGAGGTTACTCTATCCTTTATGCTAGCAGTTTTTTCAAGGTACCTCTTTATATTATTATCTATTCTGCTATGGCTACAACTTAGTTTAAGTTAACTTTCGTTAACAAGAGAAGTCTTGTGTTAGGTTTCATTCTATAACTTTTTGCGGAGTATTAGTATAGGATACATAGTGATCACTCAACATGAATTAAAGGGAAGATTGTTGAGGTTAACTCGTGTGTTTTGGATTAAACTCGATCTAGCTAAGTTTAGCCGGAAACCCTCATTTGAACCTAGTACTTAACCATGAACTTCTTCACCACATGACAACAAAATTTCTAATCATCAATACATACATAGAGTTTACTTGGCCGTGGAAGTAGACCTCAAAAGGATGAAGCATGTTACATCGGTATCTTAACTTGTTTACTTTTGCTTGTTTGTGAGATAAGTCGTTTGCATGATAGACAATCGATCGGGACTTTCAAATTTATGACCTTGGGGCATGTTTAGGGATTAGAGCACACTTGCATGAACCATTCATCTTTGTATATTTTTCAAAAATGTAGATGTAGTGTATTATATTCATCTTTTGTATACTTTTGCATGCTCCTTATGCAATTCCCATCCACATTTGTTTGATGTTTTTTTAGTACATTTTATGTATTTCTAAGAGATTGCTGTCAGGATTTGATATTTAAATGTGCATCACGAAAGGTTCTACCACACAATACTAATTTAGATCAATATGTAAGATTATATCAATGATACTACTGTTCAATTTTATGATGTGTCGATTCTCAACTTATGTGATCAAAGATGATGTTGGAAGAGAAAACGATGAAGTATCAAAATGCGAGAAACAAGTCACCATTGTAACCCTAACACTCTATACTGAATGTCATGCTATTCGAAGAAAAGCATACTAGGAGCTAACATCTAATTGGAAAAACAATAATAGTCATATGAACAATTTCGTGATGCACATTTAAATATCAAATCCTGACAGCAATCTCTTAGAAATACATAAAATGTACTAAAAAAACATCAAACAAATGTGGATGTGAATTGCATAAGGAGCATGCAAAAGTATACAAAAGATGAATATAATACACTACATCTACATTTTTGAAAAATATACAAAGATGAATGGTTCATGCAAGTGTGCTCTAATCCCTAAACATGCCCCAAGGTCATAAATTTGAAAGTCCCGATCGATTGTGTATCATGCAAACGACTTGACTCGTAATATATGTTACCCACGTATTGCATTCGCGGAATGTGGCCCTATCCCAAGTTGAGAATTTACAATTCAAGTGATAAAAAAGCATAAATACTCATTCATGATAGACACAACACGCATAATAACGATACTTATTATGACGAATGAACAAAAAAACTTATCCATCTAAGAACTTGAGTATCCGACATCTTTGCTGATTTTGCTAGTGAACCAGTCGTGTTAAAGAAAGTCAGTCGGAGCTATTCAGCAACATTCTCTACGTGCATATTTCTGATGTAAGGTAGTCTGTACCACTTACATTTTTCCTTTGTTACACCACAAGCAATCGAAAGAGAACCGATAACTTCGATGTGAATGATGAAAGGTGTTTCGGGGCTCTGACAACCTCCCCAAATGCACAATGTGTGCACATCAGCGAATATAAATCTCACTTGCAAGGCTATATCGCGAGAAAATTAATCGCAAGTCTACCGTGTGGGTTTCTATAGTTTTGTGTTCGGACACTCGTGTCGTCACGTTACTCGAGCTTTTTTTCAATAACTAATTTGCTAAGGAATCTGTTTCCACACGGAGCCGGACACTTTCGTCCGAAGAATCTGGCATACTTTGTAGAATAGTAGTTCATCCCTATCATGGGCGCGGTTGAGTGTAGCGAAATAGGCGCTCGGAAAAAAATTCGTCAGAATCTACAGAAATGAACTCACTCCTTGTGAATCTTTCCAGCATTAGGCATACAGTACAGGCAAAGATGAGGATGCCTACAGCATAGACACTTACTTGGAAATTGGTGAATGTCTGTAAATATCGGCTAATATTTTTTTTGAATTCCAAATTAATCGGAAAGATCGTCCCGTAACTGAATGTCCACCCCTTTCAGTGGCGTGATTCGCGACATAATTTTCAACGGCCCGCTCAAACACTACTGCTACATGGTTGACATAATGCGCGTGGAGTACTGTACATTCCTAGCTTGAGCTACGACGTGAGACAACAACACCGCTCTAGTAGCTCACCAGATGCCCAAATGCTCTTTACAATGTTGACGGTTACCAGCACGTGCAAGTTCGGCAATATCAATACCTCCACCGAGATATGATACTCGTGTACTTCTATCGGTGCATCCGTAACAAATCGGGTGGCAATCCACATCCCGGGAAGACCAGAGTACCTACACTAAGAGAATTCCTCAGATAGTGGATCCACAGGAATGACTAAATCCAAACAGAATGAGGTGGATAAAAATAAGGATTATAGCAGCTCAACTGTATGTTACAAGGCCAGATACCTCCAAAAATTGGGAGACTCCTTTTTTGTCTGTTCAGACCACAGAACATGTCTTCTTGACCAGAAAACACAGCTCACAACGGCAACCATGTGAAGAAGAAAAGTGACAACCTTGTGTTCACTGCAAAACATATGTTCTCTCGCCGGAGACCGAGTTCATAGTATGCACTTACGGGAAGTATGGTGCAGGAGGGGGAGGAGAGGGAATATACATGGGAGGAAGATTGGTGAAGAGGCTATTTCTATCCACACCACTGTCTGGTATGGCCTCTGACAAGGCGACAAGTGCCCCTACCAAACCCGCGTTTCCAGAAATCGTGGGTTCCGTGTAAGTATAATTGTTTCGCAGGTCATAAAACTTGTCATTCTTGTTTGGACCTCCCACCATAGCTCCATTGATAACGTACTTGTTGGGGCTTTTCGAATCCCTGAACTTATAACCACCTTTGCAAGTGTACTTATTCTTATCCAGAGGGATGGACGCAGCTCTGTGGTGTACTTGTGTAGGATACCTCGTGCCAAATCCAACCACGTAGCTCATTCGAGCAGGGTTGTTTCCCAAGATGTAGTCAATCTGCGAGCAAGGTGTCGAGGGCATGTCAGAGAAACATCTTGGTGGGTACCAGGTGCGACAAAGATCTGAGTACATAGAAACGACTCGCAGACGCTAGAGCTTAACACGGACTAAGAGAGAAAGTGAAAAAGCTAGGCACAAGACTATGCTTTCTCCAACCTGTGATCGCGAGAAATTCCGCAAGGCCTCAGATTCGATCCATCGAGTATCACATGGCCATCCGGGTATGTCGGCAGTGGTCATGTAGTCAGCATACAATGCAGCTAAGAATGCAGCGTTCGCCGTGTACTGGAGGGGCGCGGGCTTTCCATTGTTGAATAAAGTCAAACCACCTGTCACACGAAAGTTCGACAACAATAGGGTATTTAGCGTACATCCGACTTATCCAGCCTACAGCAGCTACCAGCTGAAGTTCATCGTGCGGCACTAGGACACCATTTTGACTGTTTATGTCAACGGCAACACCATTAAGTAGCCACAGCTAATAATGAGGTCAGATATGACAGGGAACTGAATAATTCACAATGAAGACACTCGAGAAAACCACTCAACTTAACGCGCAAGAGCTCTAATTTCACCTGGCGTTCTCTTGAATTTCTTATACATCGGTAAGTAGGAACACATGACGTAGTTGGTTTGGTTGTTGTACTGCTTCAGCAGATCCTCATAGGGGTATGGCGGAGTGTGCATGAGACGCAGTCGAGTCATGAGCAGCTGAAATGAAATGAGAATTTTGTCAGAAACGAGAAGACAGCCCAGCCACGAAACGCATAAGAGCAGTTAACAGGCACCCAGTGTCAACTATCATAGAAATTCACCTGAGCACCGAGAAGTTTGCTGTCCCAGCTGAAAACTCCATAGAACGGTCCTCCACCGTCTGCACCAGCGTTTCTGGCAAGCTCTGCGTTCGTTACTCGCGTGAGATACGTCCAATTCCCAGTGGCAAAGTACACCCATGATCCAGCCCACAAGAAATCATCGTAATATGCTGACGTGTTGTACAGTGCGGCCTGATCTGGAAGTGATTTAACATAACGTCCTCGCTTGCCATTGTCTTCAGCAAACTTCAAAAGATTCCTAGAAGCTGCAACAAGCTTTTCCGAATAAGCTTGGTCATCCCTGAAAACTATGGAGGCAGCTGCCATAGCGGCTGCCATTTCTGCACCCAGATCAGATCCCCTGTCTACGGCGTATGCAGGTCGTGGATAGTCCATGGTTTCCGGTCTCTCCCAACAGTAGTGATCATTTGGTTGTTGTGCAGTGCCATTTGAACCACCAGTGCCCACCTTCACATGACAAGATTGAGTAAGATTCTATGACTAGTGAAATAGGAGATCTACAGCGACTTCAAAGGATTACAGACACGAAGTTATGGACGTTACACACTCTAGCAGCCTGAGACTGGCTTGCACAACGTATACGCAAAAAGCCTCCGAAGATACGTTCTGCTCCTTGAGCTCAAACAAGAAGCAGTAGACGGCCAATTCGCGAGGGCACTGGAGAACTGTGTACCTGGGCGAATATGTATTCAACGTCGGTGGTGTTCACAGTGTAATTGAATGTCTTGAAAAGGTAGTCTGTGCCCCATTTGATGAGTTCCCTTACGTGGTCATATTCCTTGATAGCCTGGTACTTTGCACGGTATTCTATAACACTCCAGCTGAGCACTGTCAAGGTGTACGCCGTCGGATAGGTGAACTTGATGTTATCGCCGGCGTCGTAGTATCCTCCTGACAGATCGCGCTTTTGCCCTGGGCCGATAATCTGTCCTTGGCCATCTTTCAAGCCGGAATCGCCTCTCCAAGATATGTTGTTAGATTTCGGTAATTTCCCGGCTGAAAGGAATAAAAGACAGAACCACTTAGTAAGAGGGGTGAACAGACGAGTGTCAATGTGGAACCTCCTAGCATGGAAAATGACGTTTGCCCCTCCACAAAGAATAACATGGACGGTCTGAGCAAAGTGCTATCAGTCTCAGGGCCGGCAGTGTTGGCTATCCTTTCAAAGCGGAAGGCTCACAATACTCTGGGTAGGATCCACTTGACCTCAAACTAATCGTGGGTGAAGATGACTCTGATATAATCGTTGGTTCCACAACACATACAACATGCTCAACTTCAGGAATAACAAGTACAGACGAAAGTATTGTAGACAACATTCACGACCCCAGTATATAGCCTTCAAGCCGTTTCGGAGGCTGTGCGCACCATCAAACGCCTGAAGGTAATGATCGTAAGGACGATGCGTCCGCCAGGTATCAAGCGCCTGAAGGTAACGATCGTAAGGACGATGCGTCCGCCAGGAATGTCAAACGGAAACCTTGCCCCTCCATCCCCCACATAAACTGAACTCGGCCAACACGAATGGAAAGTTCATGCCAACTTACATTTTTGATGCCAACTTACATTTTTGAGCATTGAAGAACCGGAGAGCTAGATGTAGCGCCTGGGTGTAGTTATCGGCGACAGGTCCATGGTTGTCCTTCTTCGGTAACGTCTTGACGAGAAGGACAGTGAGACCAGCCACGAAACCACAGAACACAAACAAACACACTAGCACGCAACAAGCTCTGCGACTGATGATCATGCATCCCAAATCGATCCCTTTCTTCTTCTTTGGCTCCCCAGCTCCAAGTAGCCAGCTTTGTTGCGTTTCTTCCAAGCTTTTAACTGAAGCCCTGTCCATGTCCGCGTTACTTCGAATGTCATCATCAGAAACGGTGCCATCTACCTGAACCACTGATCCTCCCCACTTGTTATACATGTTGGAGCCTGCCTCGGTCTCCGCCTGTTGGCTTAACCGATAAGAGAAGAAGAGGCCAGCTTGTATCTAACACCGGAGTCGAGTCAAGAGCACTATCTCCCGATGCTGAGCGATGGCGAGGTATCGCATGCTGGTGAAAGGAATGGCCGCACGGAGGATCACACTCTGTGCCAATATCTGTCGTGTCTCATCATCGACTCTCGACAGTATTCGGTTTTCAAGGCGTTGATTTCGTCAGGCTGCAGGTTGGACAGCAAACGGTCGACAACGCCAAAATCGCGTTAGAATGCAGAATTCAAACACTCCTTAGCCAACAGCACGATTCGGACAGTGGCAGTCACACCAGCCTACAATGGGATCCGCGAGATGCTCTCACCAGCAGTGGCTCGTTACAGAGCCCACTTCACTCCTACAGTCTGCAATGGACTTACGAGGCCGAGAAACAGAAGAATCGAGTGAGGCTAATGAACTACTGACCAGAACTTGCTGTCTCCGCTGCGGAATTCGCACCTGCCTCGCTCTGTGCGACGGGCTCCGAGGAGCTGCTCTTGCTTCCTTGAGAGAGCACCTTTCGACTGCTCCTCACGAGAAAGACATTGCGAGTCCGAGAGGGCCTAGAAGAAGGGCGTTGCATTCTGCATCGGCAGTCCGACAGTAAGTAAGTAAACGCAGAGGCATCAGTAGATGGCAGGGAAGACGAGAACACCGCACCCCACTCACCACCGCAGACACCGCGAGCCAATCGCAGGCCTTCATTGCTCACTCGGATGAAGTAAAAACCAAGTTACGCTGGAAGTGTTACCACCACCACGCCTACACTCGCCTCCAAGATCCCACAGCTCTACCATCATCAGCTAAACTGTAGTAGCTTAAAAGTCATGAGACCAAAGAAAAAGCCGCGGCAGAAAATTACGGTGCACCAACAAAAGTCGCTGTCAGTTTCAACGCTTTGCATGCTCGCACTCACTGATTGTACAGGAGCGCACCCTTTGCCTCGCAAGACCTCTCCTCGTCCGCCTCCCTTCTGTGGGCTGGGCTCGCCTCCCTTGGGCCCGGAATCTTCCGGCTGTGGGGACCAGCTCCTCTTTCCGTCCGGTGTACCGTCCTCCTCCTGCTGCTACGCGGCTCGGCTGCCGCTGGCTATTCGGGTGCCATTCTCGTCGTCGTTCGTCCGTCCAGCTGTCAGATTGCGGTAGGTTTCGACGCCATGGCAAAGCGAAGATGTCTCGATCGAAGCGATTATGATATTACTTCATGCGAACTGCCCTCCCTTCCGTCCCGCACGATCCTTCCTTTGTCGGGAAAGATCATTCTAATTCTATTCTCCATTTTATGTCCCGCAGCCTCTTTATTATTCTACTCTTCTTTTCTGCCCACCACGCCTATCGGGTTATCTCCATATCTCCACACTGTTTTACAAAGGAAGTCCATTAGACGACCCAACAACCATCTTGATCTTTAGACCGTCCCCACATCGCCAACGAGGGTGCCACCCAATTACAGCACCCTAACTTCAAACTGCTCGATCGAACTTGAAATTGACTTCAAAAATCATCCGTGATCTATCTTTATGTTCGCGTTTCGATCCCAAGAAAAATCACAATGGTAACTTCTGCTCAAATAGCTAGAACTCGCCACCAACTTGGATCCGGCCTTTGGTCGACTTTTGTGTGCAAGGGGGATGGAACAAAAGAGCTCCGTCGCATGAAGGTATCGCCAACCTGGGTGACACCCAATTACAGCAGCACCCTAACTTCAAACTGCTCGATCGAACTAACAAATGACTTTAAAAATCATACTGTTCTATCTTTATGCTCTGGTAGTGATGCCCCCAAAAAAAAAATCACAATGGTAACTTCTGCTCACATAGCTAGAACTCGCCACCATGGTCGAGAGGGGAAATGAGAAAGCCGGGCTAAGAAACGTAAGAAACATGGCCGGCTGTTTGGCTAATTGTGGAGGCGAGGGTGGGCGCACAGGCTGGCCGCAATAATGCTGCGATGGCATACTTTAATGACCACCCTTTACAACTGGAGCGAACGATGATGAAGCGCGAGGCGAAGCAGAAGAGGACGAGGACGAAGACGAGGACTCGCTCGCTCCCTCGATCCCTCGCTCGATTGCTTGTGGTGGTGGCCGCGCGAATGTTCGCGGTGGTTGCCCCTCGACCGTCTTTCTGTGTCCCTCCCTCCATTGAACTCCTCTGACGCCACCATTTGTCTACCTTACGACACCTCCCCAGCGCTATTACGCTGTCGTCTCCCTATCAACCTCGTAACACGAATCCACCTCTGTAAAACCAACTACGTTACTGTCCGCCTAAAGTCGAACCCTCGGAGCCGGGATTCCCTTCCCGAGGTAAGTCCGGGACCTCCCTCGTAACCCGATTGGGGTGTTGCAGCCTCGAAGACATTCATTCTGCGAAAATACGACGGGGCGTATAATATCATGTACGTTAGATACAGACGCGATGGAGGTCCAGCCGATTTTCCTTTTGTATTTCATTTCTCTTTTATTATCTCGATATTCTTGCCTTCGGTTGGGCTCTTGGCCTTGTGGTACGTGGTTACTTTGCGTTACGGTTTAATACGATGGACGATAATTCGTAGGTTTGACTGGTGCTGCATCGTATCGAAGGTCGCGAGGTATACATCGACGGCGAACTCACTGCAGCACTGGGGACTCTACCACGTCGACGACCGATCACATACTCTGCTCACGTGGACCCGGATCGTGCTTCTCATCCTGATCCATCACAAGAGAAGGCGCGGCAATTTCCGCTGCGATTGCTAAGAAGAGAGACCACGTCGCGCGACTGGACCTCTGGCCCGACGCTGACACGTCGGCTGAACTTGATGGTGACCCTGCTCTTGTGTCCACAGGAGACACCCCAATCTGGATCAGTGATTGGGCAAATAGTTGTTCTAACTATATAAGATTAGAAACTATAGTTTTCGCCACTTTCAGAGAATCTATATCATTACATTTACAATTCATGACTTGTGTCAATTCTATTAGAATCTGATTGATAAAAATTTTAAACACTTGAAAACTTAGGTATGGTTTTATACTTGAGTTGCATGATTTTATTGTTATGATTAGAAAACATAGGGAATTTGTTATATGTTTGGATGTTTTTTACTGAGACTTAAATACTAGATAAATCTGTGAGAATACTTCAAAGATATTTTAATAGAGCATTGTAACTTTTGAGTTGAAGTTATATTGTTTAAAATTGAAGGAAAATAAATATGTGAGAATATGTTTTGGAGAATAAAAATTATATGTGAACATAAGATACATGTAAACAGGAAAAAAAAATTAAAATCGAGTCGTTGAAACCAAGAAAAAAATATCTCTCATGCGAGTGCAGATTAGCCATATATTTTCTCCAAATCATATACTTGCATCGATGTACGCGTCACTGATTTGTGTGAAGTTGTGTGACCAATGGCAGAACTAGCAGTAGGCAGTTACCATAGATTTAATTTCAATACATATCAACAAGACAAATGAGAGTATATACTATCGCTCCCACCGCACTTCAAGTCTATTCTCTGAGGCACAAACGACATCGAGTGTGTAGTAACTCTAAAAGGACAATTGTCAAATCAACTCGGTGCACATTTTGACTTCATTCGCAAGTGAGCATGTTGCATCGAATCCAATCCCCATCAAATACTGTCTGAGAGGTCATACTGCGAAGAAATGTATTAATGTATATAAAAATCAGGTGTGACTTCGCTGACTTTCTATCCAGCTGTAAACTTTCTTTCACTTCTAACATTGTCACAACAAAAGATCCACAAGGGTTTGCCCTCTTATAATTATGGAAACAACTTCTGTACGGTGCAAGGAGTTGCATATCGTCTTTGTAATGTGCCCAAGTTCTTGCGCTCACTTATAAAGTGATGCAATGTTTAGATTACATAAGAGCAGTCAAAAATATCGGTCTGTCATCGGAAATATTCATGATGTTGATTAAAATCAGGTTCCAATTACGTAACATTTGATTCCACCAGCCCACTTGGTGGAATCAAAATTCTTTGCACAATGTAACTTCACACCATTAAAAGTGAGTTCTACTCTCTTTTTACTATAAAAGCAGAGTTCCAATTTCATCATTATCGAAGGCAGCAGTAGTCCTGACACTGTTAATTCATTCTTGTCACTAACGGGAAATCTTAAATTTCTCACCTGTTTGTTTGTCTAATACGGAGGAGAGTGATGTGAATGACCATCTGAAACTGTAATCGAGTAGTGTTTTTCACTCTAGGGGTGATTGTCTTCACCTTTATTCTTTGAAATATGGGTGAAAACATAATAAAATAAATAAATAGTAGCATCAACAATTTTAAGCATACGCTCATGAATTTAAAATTCTATTACTTGCTGCTTGTGAAATAGTAAAAAAATAAGTTCACATACATCTACTGACGAGATGATATAAACTTATTAATAAGAGATTTTGGTGATTATTTTACCACTGGTTCACTGGTATCTTGGAAATCATGTCCCATTTACGCATAATATTATGTGTTACGCGAGAATTTGACTATTCATGTAAATACAAGAAATATACATATGTGGACGTACTCAGATAAAAAGAGAGAGAGAGAGCAGCTAGTTATCCCTCGAAGTATCCCTCACCCTACCGACTCCTGAAGCACCCAGAGTTCCTTTAGAGGTCTGTGCTTGGTCGGAGGGAAACAATAATGCTTTCGATAAACTTTCGAAAATTCGGGGAGAGTTCGTCCATCTCATCCTCCTGAAGTTTAATAAATCCCATCGGAGGGCATCACATTTGATGGATTTCAAGTTGAGGCGAAGAGGCAGCAGAGCACATATGGTAGGAGACAGCGAGTTGAAGCCTCGAGTAGTGAAAGATAATTAACATAAATTGAGTGATAACTAGCGGCTCTCACAGAAAATCTACTGTCCACAGCAGTACGAAACACGCTAGAGGTAACCGTGAACCTGAGGATATATGGTGGAACTTATTTGGTGGTCCAACTCTTCGTGTTCAACGACAAGAGATAACAAATTATGGTTCTCTTCTCAAGCTGCCAGTTGACAATTGCAAGACGGACGATGGATCGATGCATTCGGGTCCCAGTCCGTGCAAGTAGACAAACAAAGCAACAATAATATCGATGGTCAAACATTCTGAACCTCAATAGAAAAGAATACAATATACAATACAAACATGGACAGGTGAGTGGCAGTGTCACGTGTTTCAAGGCGAGATGCTTCAGCGTTTGTGTTCTTCACTGTTTGTGATCCACGAGAATTGTGCTGAGGGCTGTCACCAAATCGTAAAAGAGATATTCCTTTGCACTATGGCCATTGTTCGGGATCGGCTGGTCGGAAAGTCGCATCTCGAAAGGCCTACTTCCCTCGAATCATGCCCCCAGAAGGATGCATTATTGTGCACAGGTTGTAGTGTTGAAGCGTGCAAGTTTCATTCAACATGCTACGAGGTGAAATTGCTATGAAGTGGTTTGAGCATCAGATGAACCCCGACATTTTTCACTGTATAGCTGGAGGCTCCACCAAATTAGCGCTATCGACGGCAGCTTAGGATAAGCTGTCTGTCACGTGTTCTCGAATTCCAACCAACAACAATGTTCGAGTTTGCAAACATGGGCCCATTGTTGTTTTTCGATGGTAGGCCCGACTCGAGCCGATTTTCCTTCTGCCGAGAGGCCACATTCTGTCCATCTGCATAGAATAGGTTCATGTACATGTTTGCTTTAGAACCTAGCCATGCACGCACAAGCAGAGCAAAGGTTGACTGATTGGAGATTGATTGATTGATTGTTCTGGACGCATCCAATTTGTAGCCCTTTCACTCGAAAGTCCCGCACAAAGCGAAGGCATGGGCCGCCGAACAGCACGTAAGCGAACTGAAAACATATTCAAATCAACATAACATGTGTTTTGATCGCTCCTTCCACATGAATCCATTCGCACAAGGCAATCATGGTCTTCACTTTAGGTCCAGGTGTGTGCATACGAGCTTCAGCTCTGCTCTTCTGGTACGTGGTTGACTTCCGTTCTTCCTCCTCTGGAAATTTGTCCAATGCGCAATTTACATGACCGGAAGGACATTTCCAATTCCCAGAAGTCCTTGATACGTAGCCATCGTGGGCACCTTTCCTTGTTCGATCTAGACCAGAACTCATTAAAAGTGGCACTTTATTATTGAATGCCACCTTTGTCACAATCTATATTGAGCCGATGCCACAATTAAACTCTCTCGTACCAGCACTCTTTGGTTGCAATTTTGGGCTTAGACTTAATTCGGCTTTACAAAGAATGTCATTCTCTCAACCAAGCAAACATTGCACCGCATTGCGTTAAGTATGCTATAAGTGACTGGAAAGAGAATCCCTAGATCCCATTGTGTACAGAAATCGAAGTAAAGCATGATAACTGACGATTTTAATTTTTGGAATAAAAAAGTATTACATATACCGCTAAGATTTTTAACACTAATGCCAAAATATTTTGGTTATGAAACCTAGTTTCTCTCCCGTACTAGGATTGATGACAGGTTTTGAATAGTACTACAGTTCAGGTCTCGTGGATTTTGGAGATGGTCACTATCAATTGAAATCTAATATCCTTGAACTCATTAAGGACTAGTGGATTTTGAAAGTGATCACTATCAGTTGATATCTAATATCCTCATCGTTAGGATTAAGAACCTTGGACCCATTTAGGACTAGAGCTCTGAGTATATTCACGGTGGATAATAATGCGACCCGTCATGGACTCTTCTAAATTCTTGTTAGATAAAAATGGCTTTAGGTGTTGGGTGATATAACATGAGCGCGGACTCTAAGTTAGTCACAACGGAGACACAACCCTCTCGTGAAATAAGCTCAATCTCTTGAAGACTGTGACAAAAAAATTCAGTACAAATATCACAAGAATATTGGGTGCCGAAAAGGTGGCAAAAGTGGCAAATGCCACTTTGAGGTCTGAACTTTACCCTACAACCGCGGTTCGGCGGGTCTGATTTTTCTCTCGTGGAGTGTGGGCCTTTATTGGAACACCAAGGCCCTGCTCTACCCATGGGATTGTACATTTTGCGTGTGTTTGGCTGCCAAAGATTCTAAGGTGCAGAATCTGATTTTGCAGAAGAGAACCGTGGGACCTCATGCCATGCGGAGGCATGGCACTAGTGCCAACAATGCCAAGTGAGCACTCTTTGGCATTGTCGGCATGACATTTAGAGGAATCATAAGATGAGGGTAACTGCTCGTTGATTCTTCGATGTGACTCCCGCCTCGCTGCCATCTTTGCAGGACGATTCTTTGGCTGTTTTGGCGCCTGGTTCTAGCCTTTTATGAGAAGACGTTGCTAGTGATGCTAGTATTACTAAAAATCCGTTCCAAACTGTGAAGAAAGCTAAAAGGGCTTCCGCATCTCAACCACTGGATAGCTTTCGCATTGATTTCGAGAGTGACAGGGCTAGCACAAGTTCTTTTCAGTTGGTGTTAGTATTTGTAGCTCAGATCTGCACCATGGAATTACAAACCAAGGAGAAGGGCGAGTAAATTTCTTATTTTTCCCATCTGAAAGCCTGAGCTTGCAAGGACTCACGCAACAGGGCGGAGATGCTATTAACCCAAACTAATCGTAAGAACATGGTATAGTCCAATACGACATAGCCTGTTCATATTCAACAGCTGTCTGCTCTAATCTAACTCCTAAATCTCTCCTCTGAGCCATGTAAGACAATGCGACAACCAACTCCAATTTGTTCGTTGTGGGAAAAATTGTAACTACCAGCTCCTCACGGTGCAACCAGCGCATTTTCGAGAGAAAATTTTCTCATCTGGTCTACTACCTGCAGTGATTGCAATGCTATGTACAAAATGTGTATACAAGTCTGTTTCAGTTACAAGAGAGCTCAAGGCTCGGAAAAAACCCCAACAGATTACCCGTCATATCTGTCAATACTGATGTTGTTATGAATTAGAGCTAAGAGCACGCGTTTCATTCTTGAGTACCAGTACGCGCACAGGTCTTCTTTGCCTTCAAGTGAAATTTAGGCGAACTAGGTACTGTGAGTGTCTTCGTGGACCTAGGAGCAGGAGACAGATCACGACGACGCTTCAGTCCTCCATTATAAAAGCCAACACGATTCAGCAAGGTAAAAAACTGCCAAGCAAGCTGAACTGCACAACTCTCGTCGCGACAATGAAAAGAGCAGCAACGATTGAAAACACTTACCGGTGAGGCTTGAAAGGTCTGTCGAAAAAGGGCATCTTCTGTGCATGTGGCACCATCTGCTTTCTCATTCTTTTGATCTCTTCGTCTGCATCCTGCTGCATTTAACAGTGCGCAAGACTTGAGCAGGCAAGCCAGAGTGCAGACCATACAAACGTATCCAACTATGTCTAGCATTTGATCAGAACGAGAGGGCGATACAGAACGATGCGGTGATTTACGTTATATATTTCGCACCTGCATTCGCTTTTCTTTTTCTTGCCTTTCCTCATCTGTCCGAATCGATTTCTCAGTCACCTAACAGAGAATGAGGAGCATTTAGAGGTCTACTTAAAATTCCAGAAGATTTAAGATCTGACTAATAACCACACTTTAAGAGTACTGTGAAAGAGGGAACTGAAACTAGGTGGAGACCGTAGAAAGCACACCTGCATGTTAAACAGGGCACGTTCCGCTGCTCGGGCCTGAGTGTGCTGCTGAACTTGCTTCACCGACGTTTTTGTATCCTTACACGGTACTCTTGGAGGCTTCACCGTGCTCTGCTTCGGAATTTGGGGGAAAAGGATAGACATGGAAAGAAAGTTAGCTCCTTGGAATCGATGCAGAGGACAGCATGAAGCAGTCGCTGGGATCAATACTTGTCACAAAGAAACATTGGAAGGATTTGCAAGCAACAACCAAAGACGTTCCAAATGCATTGTGCAACTGACCCGGACATCCTTGCTGGTTGTGAACTGGAAGGTAGCGTTTTGCATTTTCTCCTTGGCTGACAAATATAGCTCTATTTTTTTGTTAAACTCAACTTCCTTCAAAGCTCCTCTTTCCTGCCAAAATATATTACAACTGTTTGTAAGGGTCGAAAGAACAATTCCCACGCAGTTCTAGCATTTCGTTTAGACTGCGATGCGCCGATGATATATGCACAGCATGTGTGAAAGACAAGCCTGAGCTCTCATCGTGAACCGCACAAAATATGTTACCTCAGTTCTGAGTCGGAATGGTTGCGGACATGTTGTCTTCATCTTCTTGTGCTGTGCGGAAATGCTGGACGATGCTGCTACTCTTGAAGCAGAAGTAGATAGTTGCGAGTGTGAGATTGGTGCTATCGGTGCTATTGAGGATTGCGACGAAACCTTGGCCTACAGGGTGATCGAGATCGTCGCGAGTGAGACCAAGTGGAAGTAACACAGCATTCTATCTTTGAGACTACCAAATATGATATTAAAAAACAAGTGCACATCTTCGATGTCAAACAAGTGGGGAATATTGTCGCGCTGTTAGAACAACAAACTTTAAGTGCCGGAGTAGTAGGAATGATGAGTATTCGCATTCTCACCTTGCGCTGCTCGTCGGCATGTACTGCAGTGCTCGCTGTAGCTAACTTATGCTCAGTGCGATGGGGACCGAGCTCAATGCTCTTCCTGCAATTTCAAAGTCTCTTAGAATTGAATAGACTAGCCCGCTAATTTGTTCATAGATACTCAGTGAATGTTCATCTTCCAGACCTTGTCTTCAACAACTTTGAAGCTCTTTAGCTCTAGAAAGATCTGTCTTGGGATTTTTGTATCCACTCTAGAACGTCGTATTAGTAAAGCGTATACTGTAATTGCACACAACGAAGAGCCAGACCTTTTATTACTCCGCTTTTGTTGGTTGTCCATGAAAAAGTGGCCGCCCTTAGAATTACTGAGGCCAGGTTCAGAGTCGTGCGACTCCCTAGACGGCCCCTTGGAGAGCACTCGCTTTAGAGATCTGAAGGCCTCCTCTGTTTTCTTTCCCTGCGAACAACTAGAAGCTACATTTTGTTCCGTCGGATGAATCCCGGCATGAATATCCTGTAAACAAGGCTCCGAGTCCTCCGCTGAGATACAAAGATTATTGTCTAGCCCATTGTTTACAGCGAGAGAGGACTCTCCACGGGCAACTCCCACGCTAACTGGCGGGCATCCCGATGTTTCGAATCCATGAAACGAAGAAACCTCGCGATGCTGGAGTTGCAGATTTTGCAGCGACTCAATGACGTCATCTGGGTCGACCTCCACCACCATGTCCCCCGCAGAACGAGTATCCTGGCACGAATCTGCTTTTGATGCATCTACAGGCGTATGCACATCAAGATCTTCAACACCGTCGCTCGTCTCCAGTTCCTCGTCTGCTTCATGGGGGACAACTCTCACCTCCGAAAGGCACGGAGACTTCCGTAAATGCGAATCTGCTCCTGCTAATTTCAAATCATCGGATGGCAAGACCTCGGCATGAGCGTTTGCAGGGACGTTGACATGAGCCCCGCTGCAAGCCTCGGCCTCGGCCTCCATCGATGCATCCTGTCCGCCCGTCGCGCTAGAAGACTGTTGCTGCCCCTCCGCTGCCCTGGGGGAATCCTCTGCCTGCAACTGTAAACTTTGCAATTTCTGTAACAAAACATCGCCCATCGTCTCCTCCGCCATGCATGGCGCTTCTTCGACAGAGTCGCGGGTGGAGGTTCCATTCCTACTCAGTACCTGGGAGTAAGATAGTACGCCAACTTCGTCGTTCGACCTGCGTTTCTCTGTGGCATCGATCCAGCTGGTCGAAGGGACGATCGGGCCAGAAACGAATGACACCTCTGCTGTCGACGAATCCTTGGGAACGGCAACATTGGTGACCACGGTTTGTTCTTCAGTCGACGGGAGCTGCTTAGTCGTGTGGTTGGAACCAAATTGTATGGGTGATGACAGAGATACATGAGCTTCGACCTTAGGAGAGGATTCTGGAGCTGGATTTAGGTTCGACTTCGGACCTGACAGCAGCGCTCGCCTTCCGTGTCTTTGGCTGAGTCCACCTGATGCTCTTCTACGACGGGCGTTATCACTGCTGCGGCGAGTTGCTCGCTTATCGGCAGCTGCTGTGTTTGAGGACGGTGGTGGTGGGTCGCTGCATACGATTCTGGCAACTTTGTGAGAAGACGACCCGAGATCCGAAACCCCTGAACAGCTATCGCCGTCCGAGAATGTGGAGCTCTTCCTCTGCTGCTTGGACACCCTGCTCTTCAAGTCGCTCACCTTCAAGGCTCCTGCCTCCGCAGGCCGAAGAATTGGCTTGCGCTTACGGTCCTTCAGCTCAGGCAACTCGACGGCAGCCGGATCAGTAACTCCTCTGGTTGTCGACTCAGACCTCGCCTTCGGTGGCTTAGGAATCTGACTCTGAGATTTCGTCAGTGCTAGTCTATCGATCGCATCCTTCGAGTCACTAGTGGTTTGAATGGACGCCCGGACTGAACCCGAACCTGAACCTTCTGTGGCGGTAGAAACTGAAGATTCCTCAGAGTTCGACCTACCAACATTTCCAACTTTCCTTCTAGGTTGAGAATGGCCATTCGGATCAGTGTTCTCTGAGGCCTGAAACGACTTAACAGCGCAGGGCGCCAGCACGGGATCGCTAACTTTGCCGTCCGATGCTGAGGATGAGGATGACACAGGAGCATTAGAAAGGGTGCTCACTCGCTGGTATATTTTGTTCTTTGATGAAGCCTTGTCCTGACTCTTTGTTAGAGGGTTCAACAATGGCACTGCAGGTTTTGCCTTCTTGAGCCCCGCAGCACTGCCAGAAAGAGTACAGAACACTGACAGTTAGAAATACCTCATTGCCGACCGACTTCCTTCGGATTTTCCTCCCTCCTCCCACGCTCATCAACTGTCCCAGTGCTGTGTGCAGGAGCCCAAACACTTTGTGCCCTACAGATTCCGCTTACACTAACTTCTCCCGCTTAAAGTGTACACATTGCAACCAAAGGTCAAAATATTCGCAAGATCATAACAAGAAAACTCGGTCACCTCACACCACAACTACACGACTACAAGTCATCACTACACATACAGAACGAGCTAAAGAAGCAACTACTCGCTACGAATTGGAGAGGAGAAGGCAACGAGACAACACTCAGAGACCTGGCCTTGGGCACGGAAGAAGTGGCGTCCGAATTCAGCGTCATGGACGACAGTGGAGCCTTGGGCAGTCCAGGGGGTTTCAGAACAGTGGGCTCCTGCAAACCGAAACTCGATTCAGTACTCGTCCAAAACGCATTCGGTGCTTATCTTGGACACTTTCAACATGCCAGCGGAATGAACGTTGACACTTCAAATGCCAGCGGCACATTTCAAATTCAAATGCCGGTGCTTTCAATGAACGTCATTCCACCGGTCAGGGGCACTCGTACCTTCGTCGGTTTGGACGCGTTTTGGTCAGCAAAACGATCTGCGGACTGCCTCGGGGACTTTCCTCCTGCATCAGAGTAACGTTCTTCTCGTTAAAGTTGACATCTTCTTGACGGTGGAACAAGAGCACAAAGCTCGACAGAAGCAATCGCTGCTTCGTGGTGTCCCTGGACATACAACTTTTGTCCAAGAACCAGAACCCGTAGTCTTTCTTGTACCGAAGGTACGCACATCTCGTCCAAAGGAAATTAAAACCGCCACATCCAGCATCGAATTCTACGTCCTGAAGCTTCACCCGCCGCTCCCATGTGACAGCAATTCAGATGACTCTTCTTCTTCGCTTGGCGAGTTACCGAGTTTTGGAGCATGTAGCTAGACCGGACGAGTTCGAGGGCCCTTGAGGCTTTCAAAACAGCTGAGGAGAGTTCAATGGAAGCGGGAGCTTACCAAGCCGACGGAAGTAGGCGTCAACATCGGACACCGGATCCTCGTTCGAACAGAAATCATGAAATTTGGGAGCTTGAATATTCTCGTAGAAATCATCCCGGACGAAAATGCTCTCACATTCGCTCAGGTTCAGCTCCGGTATCTCCATCTATCTAAGTCACCGGTGGGAACAGCGATCTCGACACAGCTGCCTTCGAACACTTTGAACTTCAGAACGTATCATCCACGAGGGAAACCGAGCATCAGAAATCGATCATACTCGTCCCAACCTTCCACATTTGCCCGCAAATTGCACACGATTACCGATAACAGCTGATCAACACTTGGAACGAGCGTGCGCAGCTCTAGCCGTGATGAACATCACAATCTTGCTCGTGTCTCGGCGAGCTTCGCTCGCTCTTTCGACGACTTAGGAATTTGGAAATCGTCGAGAGTGAGAAAGGCGGGGCCTCGTTCCCCGAGGCGGGTCCCGCCTTTCGCAGGCAACCGTACCACTTAACGGACATCTACGCCCCCCTCCCCCCCACCTCCTGTCAAGGTCTACTGGTCTACTGTCTACGACCATGAATCCATCGAACTGCAACCGTGACCACGAACTGCGTTCTAAATGTCACCCCGCACTCCGGACCGCGGTGATTGACTTCTTTGTATTAAACGAACCTGATCTACATCATCACAGAAACCTCTGGATCGGGGATCCCCTCCTCCTTACGCTTGTCTGTAAATTACATTAAAGTTCCCCGTAATCGAGTCGAGCGGGAAATTTAAGGCTAATCTGTCCTTGAAGAGGAACCGACGTGGTAAAACTCCAACGCAGTCGGTGCACGTTTCTACGGCACTCGTGGCTGTAGAGGACGGTAGACGATTGGTGTCAGAGGCCCGTCGGATCTTCCCGAAGCCAACGGTATCGGCAGGCCTGTCAAGTTGTGCGTTTAATTGTCGGCACGATCTCCTGTCTTTCGCGCTACGACGACATTGACGCAGTTAATATACAACGGGAATATGCACTTACGTCGTAGGTCAATGTTGACGTTTGATTGTCGTTTTAGATCGTTTCCAACGCTTTTGGCTTCCACTTGGCCCACTTTCTGTCACCATTGCAATATCCAATTCAAGAGCCTAGCATATAAATAGCAAAGAAAATGAAACTGATGAAACTAGATCTTCGCACACATATGCCATCTACCCTACTTGCATACATATGGATATTCTAGGCTCAAGAATATTGAGAAATATTTCATGACTTTCTCAATATATCAAGAATACGCCAAAAAACGTTTGAAACACACAGAGGAATCTCAATTTTTACTAAAACAAAATAGAATTATGCACACTTATCCAATTTTCTAATTTTGTCAATACAACCAAACCGATCATAGAGTTTACACAGTCTTGTGTGAATGATCTTTCCCGACATGCACATGAAAAAAAACTACTTAATGTCATATTTATTTCGTATTCTTTCATAAATTTTAAAAATGAATAGAAAAATGTGGAAATTTTTCAAATTTTTTATGATAAAAAGATTTGCATACGTTACATATGTATTTCAGTTTATAAGATTTTTAATTTTATTTTTAAAATAAAAAAAAATCTAAAATATAAATCAAACTGTGACCACGATTAAATCATTGATCAATTACATGTATTGTTATTATTATTTTCATCAGAAATTTATATATGAAATAGATTATTTTTGACAAAAAAACACATGCTTATGAAAATATTTATTTGAAAGTTTATTGATTCATATTTTTCTCTCTTATCTCTTACAGCATTCGTTCATTTGCTAAGCTAAATACATAAAGTGATCTTATCTAACATATTAAAAGCTTTCATCCATACACCTGATTTCATATGTTTGCATTTCAAACACTTTCATTCTAGAGTTTTACTCAATAAATTTAAATCTAATATTTCAATGGATTAAAGTTAATTTTCATATCAGGTATGACTCTTATGTAAGTTGATTGATTTTTAATACAAACATCAACAGATTCAGTATTTCTATACATATGATCATTTTGCATAAAATCTCAAACTTTTGAAACTTTAAAACCACATAACGCTCTTAATGTAAAAATGAAATGATAGCAAGCCTTTTACAAAATTCATGCATCATCTACGGTCATGCATGTCTTTACTTCATTAAACACAATCTTTTCATCTATCATTGAAAAGAATTTTTTTTCTAACCACAAACTTTTTTGAGACATATTGGTTGAGAGAGTATTTTTAAATTTAGTCTTCACATAATGATCATTCTTATAGTGTTTATTCTTGGCATAATTTATATAAATTTTCTCTTGTTTGCTTAAAAATTTATAAGAAGAGTTAGAATTAAGTTTTAGATCCAATTCTCATACAATCCTTGATGTAATGTGAATATGATGATTTTTGAGTGACATCTATTACCGTATTGAAAAACAGATATTGAATTGATAATATGATTGTGGTATATCATAAGTCTTACTCATGAAAACCAAACTTACAAGTTTTTTATAAATCATTATATGTTTATTTCAATTAAAAAACACATAACAACGAACCATGCAAAACAAACATTGAACTAAACTTTTTCTTTTTACCAATCTCCATTCTATATTATTTAAGATGTATCATTAAATCATCAAAGACATTAATTTGATCATCGATTTTTGTATCATAATTTTTCATTTTGAATTTCAATAATTTAAAAATGACATATAATGTTTTGAAAAACACCTTGCATTGTAAATATTGTTCAAAAGTCTCATACTTATGTACTTGTTTCAACATCAAAAATTATAAATATAATATAACTATATTCACTATTATCATAGAAGATACTTTCAGCAGTTTTACTTGAAACTCAATGTTACGTCTTAACATCTTGTTTGAAACTTTATATTTAAAATGTCATTAGACTAACTTCTTTGGATGCAAATAATAATCGTGTTCATGACATTTCACTACATTAAACTTAATTTTCCCAATTTGCAGATAATAATACTATTTTTTCAATTTTCAAAAACCTAATTATGTTTTATTTTCAAATAAATAATTAATGTAATATGCATTTGATCAAACTTCAAGTCTTGATCTTAAATCTTAGTTATGCAATTTCAAACACACAATTCTCAATTTATCTAATTGACTAAAATTCATATTCTAATATATACCCAAATATTCATAAACTAACATTTACAACAAAAAAATTTTCAAAAAATTACTAGGATTTAGTGTGTATTCTTCTTTAGTTCATTTTTTTCCCTGTGATGAATTGAGCTTGTAATATGATGGCAAAATTTAACAGAATTACATGTACTTAATTAATATATTTTGTACAAAAATGTACATAAACTCAATAGATGTCAAGTTTGACTATTTTATCAAAACTAACACACACAAAAAACTGACACAAAATTATTATGTTAAATAGTTATTTTTTGAAATTGATATTTCAACATTTTTCATTCAAAACAAATAAAAAATGTGAATGAATTTTGCTCAAATTAACACGATCTTTCATGGTTGATACTCAAAACTTAGAGATATACATCACAAACTTACTTATTATGTACTGCTATGATTATACTAATAAAGAATAAAATTCATCTTGACATACAAAGCACATTAAAAGCAATGATCTCTTTAGTTGTTAGTCAAATAGAGTTTTTGATACATATAATTGTATAGAATTTGAGATTTATATTTATTGATTCCTGATGAACATCTTCAACCTAGATAATGTCATGATTCACTGTTTGCTGAATCTTAACAAGTGTATCGATCTGCAATTCAAACTCAACAAGGTTGAAAATCAATTCCTTGATGAAGTGTTTGATCACAAATCATGACATAAAAATTGATGATGATCCCAATAATTTACTCCTTGTGTTGTGAAATATTTCTCTACATAGTTTGAATCAACCACAAACTATCTTGCTCATGTTCATGATATCGCTTTCATCCTTTGTTCCGAAGGTGTTAGATTTATTTTGAATTATTTTCTCCAAATTTTTTATAAACTGCAATTTCAAAAACCTCAAAGATGCATTCGAAGGAATCATCACAAGATATCTTTGAGCTTTGGAACTACAAAATTTGAGCACTGGAACTACAAAAATTGAGAACTGTCTATCTCTAGTACATATCAATTTCCCTACAAGCGAATTTGCGTTAGCGTAAATATGTAAAGGGATCAAAATACAATCTAATCCTACTAACTAGAGTAACAATCATTTGTGTTAACAAAACCTCAGTTACCTACCTACTCTCGAGAGGTCTTAATCTATCAGTCTTTTGACTTGAATAAACATCCATGCATCACAACTGATCTTAAGTAAATTTCTTAATTATCGTTGTGATGACATCCATTGTGATTAAATTTGGTTCAATCCATGTACAACAATGGACTAATTTTCAAAAAAGTTATGCTGTCCAAATTGAGACAGCTATCACATAGTACATATTTATCATGAATTATCACATTTTTGATATTGACATGATCTATATGACAATATAATTTAATTGCAATAACCTATGAGGATATAATGCATAAACAAATTTGCCTTTTAGTGTTTACATTATTTAGATCTTTCGTCTAGACAACTCTCTGTAACACTTTCCAGGATTTCGAATTGAGTGATTGGAACGATTGATTGTCATGCCTTGTAACGATGTTCAATGTGACACTGAAAGCCAAAGTATGGTAGTGTAACCCTGTAAACATTTTCTCAAAACATTGGAACCTTTTGAAACTGTGCAGGCACATTTCCATATATTCATGTAAACATGGAAAAATAACCGATTCGACACACCAGCATGAAACGTGGGATTGTGTAAGGTCATATCATATCAGGTGACAAGAACTTTCCGCTTCTTTCTTGTAACTTATTTATATTTTAGTTACTGTACTCGAGACACTGATCTACATAGTAGACGCCATCATGTCGAATAATACGATGTCAATCTTTCGTTTCTATATCAAATGTGGTAACCCTGAAAGATACAACAAGTTTTCAGAAATTGAATAATGATGGGGATTGTTTGCAATGCCTGCCATCCTAGCTGAAATCCAGAATTTGCAATTATCGAGTATCCACACCACATTGCACTTAAGAGAGGCTTTACATTCCAAATGGCAGCACCTTTTCACTACATTCTCAGATCGCATTGACACACTCACTACGAAGAAATGTACACCTCAAATGTTCAGAATGTTGTTGTAAGCTTACATCAACCTCACAAACGAGTTACAGGGTACCATACAATAAGGTTTATTCCAAGGTGGTAGAATTTGGAGTCCGTATTATGTACTTCATTCTAGGAGTGTCAGGGTGGGACAAAACTTGAAAAACTCGTTACGGGACGTAAAATTGTGTAGAAAACAACACAAATTGTTCTGGTAAAAGTGATATTCTGAACATAACTTTTGAAGCATTGTTTCTCAATAATTATGGAAAATGAACAGACATGTACACCGTGTTTGCATTGTTAAGTCTAAGTGAACATCTGATTAGTTTATCCCATGCATTGATGTTTACTTCTTAATTCAGAAATTACACACATAGCCAAAGCTGTGTTTCAGTTCCACACGGACAGAATTTCCTTGGGAGAGTCTTCGAAATAAATGATGGCACGCATGCATGAATTACCTGTCAATCCTACAACCTTCTGCCAGCAAACGCACACCTAACAAACCCGAGTTAAACACAAAATGATGTATGATGCTAAAATGATCACAAGATTGAAATGGCCTGCATCGCGCAGGAAAAAAGACTCTTAGTTACTAAGCTATCGTGGTCAAACCAATTTTAAGCATCTGCTGAACTGACAGGGCTGACACGAGCTCTCCTCTCTCTACGACAGCCTCTTAAGGTTAAAAACAGCCATTGGTCCATCCTTGCCAACGATGATTTCCAAGAAGTAGCTGAGTTACTCGACCTAGAGAAAGACTCAATCATCATGACGTGCGCTGACCTTCACAAGGAGCACTTGAGATTGCACCTTCGTTCACTCAGACTAGGTTAATGGTGCTGCAATCCGTATCCATGTTCGGGTATGACACTTCGATGTGAAATAGCATTGCACTATCTACTCTGCTGTACTCGTTTGTAAAGTAATCATAACGGAAGCAAATTAAGTACACTTGCCAATCCAACCGACACACTAACATTGCGCGCGGAGCTCGAAAATGTCCCTAGATAGATCACGATACAAATCGGCAGCCTGTCTCAGTCGATGTAACTGGATTCTCACTTTAGTTCAAATTGCTAAATGCTTTCTGCACATGTCGACAGTCCTGGTCATTGCTCTATAATGAAACGTTGAACTGTCCAATGCTAGCAAAATTCCAAAAAGAGGTGGATAAGATCTTGCCTGAAGACTGTGAAGGCATATCCCCTCGACTCCCTTCAACGTATATATAAAAACTGCTTCAACTTGGAAATTGATGATCTTGAAACGCTTCTTCCTGTCTGTGCTTAACATATGAGAACAGCATAGGAACGAATGAAAAAATCGACATACGTCCTAACACTCTCCGTGTGTCCAGTCTCTACTCCAGATATTTGTTCAGTAAATCGAATGACTCTAGAAAATGCCAGCAGCCACCAATATATCGTAACCTAGAAAATCGAAGTGTTGCTCATTGTAACCCTGCAGCACTTGGAAATACATTGATCCCCCAAAACGAAAGTTCAGAGTTGTACTGATCTTAATTCTAGACAAATGCTTGATGTATGAAACTAATATTTCAGGAACAGATAAATAAAGCTAGCCTGAAACAAGGGCAAAGCCAGAATGCTTTACTGGGTCTTTGAGCTGACGTTGCTAGGCGTGCGGTGAATGGACTAGCTGCAGGAAGACATCTGACCTTCACCAGCAACAAGTCTTATCGGTCTGGACTCCAGAAAAAGGCGTCCATAAGGTTCTTTAAGAAGTGCCATCATCCCGGGCCGGAGTTCCTACTTCACTTGAATGATGGAAGCTCTTGGGCGTTCCCGAAAGAGATAAATATAAGCCTATATTAAAGATCTCAGGAGCATATAACCCAGCTCAAAGTAGGGGAAGATCCAGGCCAGCAAACATGGCTGATGTCAACACCATACGAAATCGGGCGTCAAAGGATCACCACAGGCCGAACGAACTGAAAGCGACCCGGAGAAAAGTTACACAGCTTGAGCTTTAAGAGCATGAATGACCGACTATCTTATTCCACACCTAACCCTTCAGCATTCAGACTACACCTCAATACACGTTCACGAACTTACTCTGTTATCTTCACCTATAAAGTAATCAGCTAATATAAGATTTACAGTAGACAGAATTTATGAGATTCCACAGAGTATAGTGGCAGTACCTTTCAAGTGTTCTCCCTCCAGAGTTCGCGCATATGGAGTTGGTACTATCAAGTGGTTACGGCAGCAGCAGCGTTTAGAGCGGCAGTTACGATTAACGTTGATGCCATACTCAGCATAGCAATACTGGTGAGAAGTATTCGCAAAGGCAAGAACCTGATTGAAAACAGAGTAAGGTGAGTGTGAGATGAACCTGTGAAACACTCCAAAAAAATCTCGATAGCTGCAGTCATAGGTACTTTCCTGTCACATCCTGAAGGACCAAAGAGCTCCCACCCTGGCTCAGTGATCCCAACGAAGGACATCATCGATTAAAATCTCGCCAAAGTAACAGAATTCGAGGTTCTCTGGAGATACAGATCATTATCAGGTGGGACAAACAAGCTTCGAAGGCTGTGTTCACCATCTTCCCATTCTTGTAATATGATTCGAGGAAGGAAAACGAAACTATCATCTAACCCTGGCTTCTTCTTGGATCTCAAAAAGTAACAGATTGCCAGGTTCTCTGGAGATACAGATCATTATCAAGGTGGGACAAACAAGCTTCGGAGGCTGTGTTCACCACATTTCCATTCTTGGAATATGATTCGAGGAAGGAAAACGAAACTATCATCTAACCCTGGCTTCTTCTTGGATCTCAAAAAAGGTAGATGATACCGTGTAGAGGGATGAGCTTGAGTTCGCCTGGTGGATGCCAGTCATCAGAGAAAAACTGTGGAGAGTACGCACCGGCTATACCCAAACCACAAGCACAATCTTGATCAAAAGCCAAGAGAGTGCTTCATTTATTACTGAACAGAGCAGGGAGTGGCACAAGGCCTGCCTTTCTGTGAAAAGAACTGATTGACGATGGGGATCTCACATACAGTGTCGTTCGGTAGAAGCACAACAAGGAAATCAATCCTTCAGTGTTGAGACAGCACCACTTAAACTACAACTCCTTCACCACTCTTTGGTGGTCAGGCTGTAACACGGAAATATTAATGACTTCAGTTCAAGCAGATTGATATATATTAATTTGTTGACTTAAAGTTTGCCAACTATAGAACAAATCGATGACAACAGTTTATTTACCAATGAGGAAGCAATCCGATCCTCGCAAAAAAGGCATCGACACCAAGGACCTGCAATTAAAACGGCTACCACAAGTGAGAACAGGGCCCAGAAATGAACTGTTTCACCAAGGATGAAACATAAACTACTATCTTGACAAGAAAACCTGACTCACCAGTCCGTACGAGGTTATGAGGACAACAAGCTTCGGAATAGGATCAAGAAGCAAAGCTGGCCACGCTACTAAAGATGGTATAACACTCCAAACGTATCTGTGAAATATCATGTAGAGCAACCCGCATAGTTCAGAAACGACAGTCAGTTAATAAATCAGGTCTGCTGATTATTGAAATACGCAATAAAAGGTTTCTATGACCGGTTGTATACACACGCTATACGAACAGTGGAAGAGAGATAGATGAGTTTCTAGTGAACATCTGATGTCATTACATCTCCGGCAAAAAGAGGGTCGTCTACATTGGTCCAAAAAGAGCCTGAGGACATAAAGCGTGAAAAAAGAGGAGTACTGCTTCAACAAAGCATCCTGTGTTAGTGGTAAAGTCTCAACACAGAACTTAAGCACTGTCGAAGACGACGGCATAAATGGATCACTACATTTCTATTAACTCACCGCATTGTTTGAGACGATATCTTCGAAAATCCAGATTTTGGAGACTCTAGAACATGAGACATTCCGTGTCAGGCAAACTCAGAAATGATGAAAACTCACCATCATTTAGACGCATGTAAGTGTGCAGTTTGGTGAGTGCTGGTAAGTAGCAGTAAACAATCGAACAAGTCCAGACTAAATACTAAGCGACATTTTCGTAAACAAACGCATACGAAGAGAACTAGGAGTAAAACCAGTTGAGAGTTCAAGAGAACTCTGTGCATAAGGAGAACTCAGTCTTGGAAACTCTAATTGAGTGACTGGATTATCATAAGTGAGGTGCTTACATGCACAAAACATCTGAATTGAGATGTGAGTTACCTCCGTTCCCAGACATTGCCAGACCCCAATGAGGACCTCCCAAAAAGGTCAGAATAACTGCACCATATGCTGCTTGCGCTTCCATATGCACGTTATACAAGCAGTCCTGCAGTCCAAAATCCACGTGTTTAAGTGAAAGATAAAACATATTACATTACTGTAATGGACCCTGGAGATTGGGGCAAAGCCAGAGTCTCTGGTCAAGAATCATACTATATTGTAGGGCTGCGCCAAACTTAGTTAAGTGGGTGCATGTCATCAGTATCACATTATCATGAAACAGGACAAACCTTGGTCAAGAACAAAGAGGTACAGAAACGTACTGGCAGGGGAAGGATTGATGCAATGCCAGGTGATAAACCCACAAAGGGGATAGCACCAGCAAGACCAAGACCGAGTGCAGCGACAGGTACATGCTCCAGATCTGAAAGCAGAGTCACGGATTTTGTAAACCAAGTCCTCTTCTCATTCGGATTATCATTTCTGTTATCTTTATTGCCCGAATCGACTGCCTTCTTATCTACAGCCTTCTTCTTATCCGCCTGAATGGCCTTATTCTGCACACAAAATTATTATTAGTTCGTAATTACGTTCGTCAAAGTCGTGCAAACAAAACAGTGCATTGGTAGTTCAGAAAATCTAAGTTTCGAAATTTTCTTCTCTTCAACAATTAATAAGTTCAGTAGAATGGAATAAGGGGAAGCAATCTTACAGTCACTGATGAATAATTTCGTGTTTGGGTGAAGTACTTATTCCCGTAAAATGACTCAGCAAGCATCTGTAAGGACCAACAACGCAGAATTGTCAGCCTTGATGGTTATCAAGAACGTCACAGAATCGCTAACGTGGGCATTTAGTGTTCGCACTTCGGATGAAGTTATTCAAGTTACGATCACGGTTCCTCATCAGTTAGGTTTAAACAGTAACAAAATTCCGGATTCTGATCCATCCAAAAGAAAAACTGGAAGGTTTATCCGAGTATGTACTTTGTCCCCTCTCTAAATCCATTCCGAGCTCACACTTGTCCTTTAACATGGATATCTTCAACACTTCCATCAGATCCGGTATGTCGTAAAGGAATTTGGCCTATGTCTTTTAGCTTACACCAAACAATACATCACGAGGTGGATAACCAAAACTTACAGGTGAGCATCCATGAATTCGTGTAGAAGGTGTTCTCTCATCATCCGTGCAAAATACTCCGGGCAATGAGGGGCATAAAACTAAATCCGCTTGAGCGAGAGACTTGGCCACGGTAGGATAGATATCCTTCAACCGATCACCACAGGGTCGAAACACACGGGCGCCAAGTCCATTGCTGGCATCATGAGAAGATCCACACTTTTCATACGCTGCATTTTGCCTACAAGAATTGAGACGGACTGTCGGGGCACGGTCTCGAGAATCACATGCAGCAAGTGCAGGACAAGCATGGGAAAAGGACTGCGGCCACTCAGGCGGACGATGTCCTATACCCCGCAAACTAGCAAGGCGCCCCCATATCGTCTTATAAGTTGGTGCCACTTTTCGGGCCTCGCGCAACATCCTCGCTCCTCGATTGAAGGGTTCGACGCCACGAGCAGCCAAGAAACAGAGGATGGCTGCGGATGCTCTATGTCAGCCGTCAATTGACATGTTCGCAACCCCCGGAGTCGGGACTTGTTGGAGCTCCCTCGGAACCGCGGCACCACTCAATCTCTTATTCCAGCATCGCTGCCGGTCACTAGGGGCTCTTTGAGATCGAGAGAACGACGCCAGCTGGCAACTCCAGAGGAACCCGTCCGCAGTGCTGGTGACCACTGACTGTACAGAAGATGCACTGAAAACGAGAGCGGTCTTCGGAGATCCTAGTCAAACCTCCGATCTTCATCTTAGTCATGGGTTTGGTGACCACTGACTGTACAGAAGATGCACTGAAAACGAGAGCGGTCTTCGGAGATCCTAGTCAAACCTCCGATCTTCATCTTCATCATGGGTTTGGTCGAAGGGTTCGCTTTCAGACATCTCTGTGGCTCCAAGCTAAAATTGACTTGGTTCGTCATGTTCGGACTTCACATTCAGATTTTTTTTCGTTCAGTATGTTCAGTACATTCGACTGGAACGACATACAGAAAATGAAATTAACAACGGTTGGATACACATATTTTTACACAGATCGGGTAAAGTTTACTCGTGTTTTCTTCTGGTCTCGTCTTATTGAGGTAGCTTTAACAAGGGGATACTACTCACGTGGAGGTACCCTGAGCAGGAATGGGTAGAGAAGGATTTTCTGTCACCTATTACAATCACGGTCTTCCTGTAATACACCTGATGAATCTTCACGAACCTTTTACTCATGCTGACCTCAAAACCACTCTAGACGCGATAGTTGAGATATGCTTGATCCAACATTCTGTGATACTTTCGCAACTAAGCGTCTCAGACGATACTGAAGTTCGAACGCGAGTATATTCGAAACAGTGCTTGTGGGGCAAACGGGATAAATTCTTGAACACACCATGCCCAGGACATATAAAAACATGCGAACCTGTGATGCTTAATTTCAACAGAGAAGATAAAGATTGGAGTCAGATGAGAGTGGTCATAATACAGTCGGTTGCATATGATGTTTAAAATTGGAGATCAGTGTAGAATACAATCAGACCTCTTCTTTCCGTTCCGTACTGCAAGGTACAGCACCTGTCACTCACACTATCATATCTACTCAAATAAATTTTGTTTGTTTGAGTAATAACCTGGCTGCAAACCACGAACTCCAAACCTGTCAAAACAGTCTACGAGGTAACAATCTACATACGTAACCATGGTTCCGAGTTACAACTGCAGCTATACCGCGTAGACTATAATAAGCATTAACAAGTGGTCCATTCATTAGAACGAATCGTGCGCACCTCACCTCGGTTCCCATCCATCAAAACTAGTCTACATGACGTCACTTGACATACTTCAGTCGTCGATACATCCACTTTACATGCAACCTTGTAATCTTCACATTTGCCATAAACCGAAAATTTTACTTACACAGGATGTTAAACAGGTTATGTTATACACGTTGGAGCGTCTTTGGATTGATCACTCGACCAAAATTGACCAACATGTCAAAAAATCAGGAGAAATTCATAGACATGTCGAAGTCTTGTGTGCAATATAGTCCACGAGTTGAAAACCAGCCCAACAAATCATTGAGTGTAGTTGAATATCATGAGCGAGAGTAAGCTTGATTACACAGCATAGCATGAAAGCAAGCTCTCAGCAGCTTCAATACAACCACCAAAGATCATGGTCCAGATTAGACCACTAGTGACATTTCGGGATATATTTTACAATTAGCAACGGGTCAATTTTCTGTATCCTAATCCTTGATTATGTTGGATTACCTGTTTTCAATGAATTCTATTATAATCTGGACCACTCCCAAATGCAACCTCCCTTCACCTCAGATGAAAAGTAACCCAGAGCTCTTTTTTCAGCTACAGCTATAGTGCATCATCAATTGCTACTACCACTCACTGCAGAATAAAGGGCATCCATTGAGAACCAGGCTGAACTTCCTGCACATACGGTGTAGCCGTTAAGTAGAACTGACAGTAGTAAATGTGGGCCTGTCTGTAAAAATGTCATGTTGTTCATCCAAAGACTTTACTTCTGGCGGATGCGTGCCTGCTGTCAAGCTCTCAAAGATGCAAAAAGCAGACAATCTAGGTCGTTCACACGCAGGGAACGCAAAGTGTACCTCTAAAAACTACAAATATTCACAAACAATACAAGGGGGCCCTCAAGAATGTGAATCTGCACAATGATGTTCTAGTGCTAAATCTCAGCTAACTGCAACATTCGTATAGAGAATGGTATGATTACCATTCCTTTTAAGAAGCCACCTACATGCCCTTTGTCAGCGCATCTAGAATCTCAGATGTCAATTGTCACCACATCAGTGGTGTATGTTTGAAGGTCCGGAGCTCAAGACAGGTCAAAGGATCCTTGTCCCTCCCATATGGCATACACCAACCGCTCCCGCATGACTTCCTGCGTTTTAAACGATCCTTGCGAGGTTCAGCTCTGGTATTGGTACAGAAATTAAACTAGATATTGAGAACTTGGATGAGAAACGATTTCAGCGGAGTTCAAGTTGATATAGAAACGTCCAAGCGCATCATCGCAAAGTTCAGCCTTCACAAAAACAGTTCCTCACCTTGCAGGAATATGGCGGCAATTTGAGATAATTAGCGCAAGTCATGACACTGGGCAAATCACCATCCGCCAGTGTGGTTCCCAGACCAGCTGCAGCACCTGGAGGTGTTGACCCGAGCACCGCCGCACCTGTATTGCTTACTCCGGTCGGATGCTGCAGATTCAAACAGGAATTTACAGTAATTACAAACTTCGCACAGCTGAGCAACAAAGAGATGCAGACATGAGGCAAACCATAATTTTTTTTGCTGTATAACAACTCATTCAGATTCTGCCCGGTGTAAAGGGCGTACCTTCCGCACGATCGTCAGTTTTGGACTTAGAGCAGCCAAACCACCTGGCGGGAGGCGGGGAGCTCCGGTCACGAAGCGCAAAAATGCTCGCTGTTCATCCGGGGTAAACTCTCCCATGATCTCGATCAGCTGCATACATGCACAGCACCATCGAATAGGTGGCAACAAACATGTAAGTTCCTCACCCTACAGTACAGCCACTTCTTCATCCTGTCCTCGTTCTTCATCTTCGAATTATTGGGAACAAAAAAAAACGATAAGTAAACTCACTCAAGCTCAAAGCATGAGTAAAACAAGCCCTTCATTTACTCATGCTTCATGAAAAACAGTGAATAAAATGATTTTGTTGGCATGAAGTAGGTCCCTAATTTTATAGTGGAGCCTTGTGTAACCTTCTAGGAACAAGCGTTTCCAAGGTTATAGGTCTTCAACTTACATTTCGAATTGGCGGACTGCTTGCCGTATAGCCGTGGTCAAACTTCATCAGATCCGCAAGTGACTCAGACTGTCACATTTCAGCAGCGATCGGGGGAGGAGATCAGTAACAAACTTAAAACATGAAGGTGCTCAAATAAAGAATACCGTAACACTCCTAGATCACAGTTCACAGAAGTACTTACCACCCAAAGTTCACGACGTCCACATAGCAAGGAGTCCAGTTCATCCTCATTGAATATTTGCAATGTGGAGAGTTGGAACACCTAAATAAAAGCCAGGGAAAATAAACTTAGTGAAACACACAACAAGAATGATGGTTTAGAAACCCAACGAGCCTTGTAACGAAAAGCCTGGGAAACATAATCGACAACAAAGCACATTCCAATATTAGAGGTCTTCATATATGAGTTTCTTCCTACACCAGGAGTTGGTCAATATCTTACTTGATTAAATCCAGCACGGAATGCTTCCAATTGTTGAGAAATCCCAGATTTTACGGTAGCATCCACGACCATTGATACGTACTCTTCCAGAGAATCGATGTCAACCTTGAGGGAACAGGACAATTACAAAGGTTAATGATAGTTTGACATTAAGAAGCCTGTTCAGGATATATGAAGCCGTCGAGATGACCGCATATGCTGAAAGCGGTAAAACGAAACAATCAAGACGACCATTAATATTATTCATCGATAATATTGCGGTATTCGTCCCTTGTTACTCTAACCTTCTCGCACTCGTCTTCCAAGCAAATACATTGCATAAATTGTCCTTTGCAGCATCTCTCAGAACGAGCTCTATGGCAATCTAAGCCTGCTCTGAGAATCACAATGTGCCCGAAGCCTTCTGTTACATACATAGTCGTGCTGAAGTTAAGAGGAACCATAAACGAAGCACCGTTGAACTACTTGACAACCTAGACGTAAGACCAAAATAGGGTAAGTTCCGCACCATCAAGTTGTTTCCACCTGGTTTCAAAACGTAATCAGGTTGTCCAGGGAGAGTAAAGTCCAGACAAAGATCCTCTATCTTTGAGCCCCTTAAAGACAATTCTTCCACCACTTTCCTGTTATCCCCACTTTGAAGCTCCAAATATTGCTTGCGGCGTACCAGCAATTGCATTTCTAGCAGTGTCTTCCCGAGCTCAGGGTCAATAGTCTGTATATCGTAGCAGTCAAGATCCTGAGGCAACCGCAGAGAATTTTCAAAGAAGTAATATCAGTCCCAATATTCTAATAAGTTTCTTATAGATTCGTCTCTTGACATCTTGGTTACGGTGTCATAGAATTCAAAGAAACAGAGAAAAGTCATATTACCAAAGCATAAAGCGCCTACCTGTCCAAGGACAAGCTTGTAGAAACCTTTCGACAAAGGTAGATCCAAAAGGCGACCGTCCTGAAGAGCTTTAGCCATGACTCGTCCTAGCAGACGGAAGTGTTCAATGACTTTACCATATTTGCCTGAAGTATCAGAACCAGCAGGCCAAGGTCGTGGAAACAATCCGTTCGGTGCATGCACATAATCCTCATTCCTACAAGCAGAAACTGTGCTGGGGTTGTTCATCCCTACTGCTGAGTAACTATCATCCACACTGCCACCATCAGCATCTGGCATATCTACATCTTTCTGCGCATCACTTCTGCTTGAAGCTTCTGTTCGCCACATTTCTAATGAACTTCTTTGAAGTTCGTGACTAAGCAACGTGTAGAACTCCAGAGTTGGGCCTAAGCCGGTACCCACTTCGCCAAAATACTCCACTTCAAGGACGGCCTTGTGTCCAGAATATAGCTCCATGACTTTGGCAGCAGAATCTAGTATCCGGTTTCTTGAAACTCTGACCTTTTGCCTCTGAAGCCTGGCGACTCGTAGTTCACGGTCATTTGAGGTAGCAGCCCCATCTGCACTTTGCTGCTGTTGAAGCCGCTGAAGAGCTCGGGTGAGACCAAATGCAGTAGAGTGAAAGTATTGCCTCCTTGTTTCGAAAGGAAACAAGAAAGGGCAAGCTCTTGTCAATTGGTGACACCAGGCAGGAAGACCACCACTACACAATGCCAAAGCGTCTTGCATCTGGCGTGCTAATTTTGGTGTTAATTTGCTGCTTAAAAATTCGTCAACCGGTACTAGGGGACCTGCTACTTGCCACTCTTCGACATTTGACACACTACCCTCAGCATAAGCATCTGTAACTCCCTGTGTACGCAACCTTGGAGCTAAACGATTCAGACCCTCAAGAATACGAAGCAGCAATAAGATATCATAGGTGGTATTCGTCTTATCCAAATCACATGGGAGCTCCCCCTTCAAGATGTTATCCAAAAGAGATGCCTGTTGCCATGAATCCTCAGATGTGGCAGGATTGCCGACCACTCTTTGACAGGCATTCGTTGTTGTGGGGGACGAACTGTTTGTGCTGGAAGGTGCTCCAGGTGCTTGGTCCGCAGAACAGTCAACACGTTGATAAGATATTGTATACACCTCATCCCAGAGCCTTCTACCCCCACCTAATGGGTAGTCAGGTCCTCCGTATCTCTCTTCATCGTCATCGTCTGCGACAGCTTGCCTCTGTATGGCTTGAAAGATAGTCAGCGACCTGTTTAGAATTTTGCCCGCCAAAGAAAAGACGAGCTTGGGTGGCGAATTTGCAGCAGTCGCACGGGCACTACTTCGTGAAACATTTCCACTGGCCGATGCCATACCCGCCATAGCGGCGGCGGCGAACGACAAAGAACCTTTTGTTCCTAGGGAGATTCCAGTTCTCGTGCCTGCAGTTGTTTCAGCCCCACCTGTAGAACCTCCTCCCTTCCCGCCTACACTAATTCCAGCGAGTCCTGCGCTGAAGCCGGAGGACTGAGATGCCACTTCAGTAGAAGGTGTACTTGTTGATGCAGTAGCCCCGTCGACACTATCTCCTAGCTGCACATCATGCACGCGCTCGCCAATACACACGGGCGCAGGCTCCTCACCGAACACCTTCCAGGCCAGATCAAGAATCCAGTTCAAAGGATCAATTTTTGTATAATAATATTAACTCTAGACACACTTTCAAAGCCACATCGGAATGATGCGATCAAACCCACTGTACAATATTCACACTCAAGGGTCATCTTGCGTCCAAAAATAACTAGAAACGACTTCTATGACGTGAAACAAAGTAAAAACTACTATCTCTTTCTATCTAGGGTCACCTCTTCCTCGGCTTGCCCATCCTCAAGATCGTCATCCTGCGAAAAGACCACTTTCGACTGTTTAACAAGTTCTTACGTGAAGAGTGGCTTGCAGACAACACCAGTAGACCACTCCTAGATTCCCCTAGGTCCCTCAGAACACATGTGACGCTTACCTCTTCGTGGTCGTCTTCGTCTTCGTCGTCTTCCTCTTCAGAGAGATCATCTTCCTCCATGGCCACGGCCTCTTCAATTTCAACTGGGGAAACGTCGACTTCTTCATCCTGTTTGAAGAAAAACCAGGAGACAGCAATCCAGAAGGTATCAGAATGGAATGAGCTTACCTAATTGAGGCATATATATAAACAAATGGTAACGATTCATTTGTCACGTCACATCATCTCATACGCGTTGTATATATCCCACATCCGGAACTGGTTAAGTGGCAATCAAGGCACACTTCGGATGCTAGCATGAATAGGAATGGCATTATTATAAAGGGGAGATAGGTCATAAGCCATTAGTCTTATCGAGCCCTGACCAGACTCAAAAGGGTATAGTTCGACTCTAATAAGAAGACAAGTACAAATCTCACACTTGTCTGTAGTTTGGAAGACGGGACGGATATCCTTCATGCTGGGTATATACGTCCAGAATTATCCTATACGCTGATCGCTCTCTCTCAAGATATCATCTTTCTTACTTGTTCTTTAAGTGCTCACAAAATGATCATTCTGTTAGTCTGAACAGATACCTTCGTTCCACTCCCCAGTTCACTGGTCCAGATCTGGAATCTGAAGAGATTGCTCACCCAAATGTGCTGTTTGAGGTTACAGTGGACGAGAGAAAACAATGACAGGAATTGAAGTGAGCAACGACTGCTGAGATTTAAGAGTAGATCGAATCTGGACTTCAGCTGTACTCTAGTCCTTACTCCCATGGAGAATGTCTGACTCTTTGATTTTACGGTTCCTTTAACTTACGGGTGGGAATTAAGAACTTCAGCCAATACTTTAATGTTTGTACGTGACGGTTTTACAGGTGACGTAAGCGACGCAGAGCAATCAAGATTCCAATGCAACGTGGCCCTTCTTTCAATCCCTAACTCGATATTCGCAATTTCAGCTTACCACCAAACAAACACAAAGAGCTGATTTGTGAGGTTGGTATAAACTAAAGAGATTAAAAAGCCTACCTCACTTTCACAGGGAACGCTAAACCCAAGAGCTTGCTTGGCAGCAGGCGCTCCGACAGCAGCTGCTCTCCTTCGGGCTGCGGCATTTCGGGTTTCAGGACCACGGGGCTCATCAGTAGAATCCGCCGGAGCTCTGGAAACAGCTTTGCCTTTTCCTTTGATAGAGGTTATGTTCGCACCCTCTGCCTCCTTGTTCGCCAACGCAGAAACCACAGCAGCTGAAGATCTGGATCTTGTAGAAGGCCGTCGCTCGACGGCTACAGGAGCTGATGTAGAGGGTGTAGGAGCAGGAGAACCTGTGGTCGCATCCGAAGTGCTAACCGTTGTGGAGCCAAAAACACTGTCATGACGCTTAACCCGAGGCCAGAGAAAATCTTCAACGGCAACTAGAGTCGCCAATGGCTCTATGAGAACAATATTAGAAGCATAGTCCCTAAGAACCTTCTCATTGGATGCTCTCGACAAACGTAGCTTAAAGGGTTGTGTCAAAGCACTAAGACCAGCAGCTATACTTGCGCTACCACTGCTTGACCGGGGTGTGTGGCTAAGAACAACTGGAAAACGTTCAAGCGAAGCCAGAGCGTTCTGCAATTTCCGGACCAACATTGTCAAGGGAGCTTCCTTACCATGCCCAACAGCAGAGGGAAGAGAAAGCACTATGAATTGCTTGAATCTTTGAAGAGCTTCTTGTCTAAGCCTCGCCGGATTAGTATCAGACACGGCGTCTTTGAGTGGAGTTCCGCATGCAAAGTAATTTAGCAGTGATCCTACAACTCCACTCCCTACAAACTCAAATGTTGATACTCCATCTTCCCCACCAAGCTCTGCTAGGATTTCCGACATCAATGCTGATAACTGCTCCTCGGTGACAGGACTTGACCCCACAGCTTTAGCTTTGCCCTTTCCCTTGGCCTTGACCTCTCCGACACCTTCACCATTCAATTTAGCGCAAAGAGTTTTCAGTTTGCAAAGGCTTTCCGTCACTCCAGCATCGGCCAGGCCAGAATCTCCGGAGAAATAGATTTCCTTGAAGCGTTTAGCGACTGCAATAGCTGCCGCCCTAAGCCCTGACCGTAAGGTGCGGAAGGCTGGCTCTGGACCGATCCCGATGTTTGGAGGTGACCCGACAGGAGTGGCACTAGACCCTCCAGGCTCTTCCGTCGCGGGAACGTCATTGTTACTTCCACTTGAACGCCGTCTGCCTGATCCCACGCGACGAGGCCTTGTAGGAGGTGGAGGCCCACTAGCAGCACTCGTCGAAGCATCTCCCGATTTTCCTGCTGCAGATGCTTGAGGTGGAGACGCTACCGTACTTTCTGAGGCTATCAGTACATCAATCGCATGTACCACACCTTCCTTCACAAAGACTTTCGAGAAGACGTCTGGCAGTTTCTGCATAAGCATTTCCGCTATTTGCAGAGCAGTGATGAGGATGGAGGCATCCTTAGAAGCTAGAACACCTGCCAGGAAGCTGCAAAAACATCACCTGAAACTCAGACTCGTCACGTGGCAAGTGATCGGCACGCTTAAGGGTGACACTAAATTAGCTCGCAGTAAAATGATAACAACAATCTCTCACCACCACACTGAAGCAAAGAAGTTCAAATACCTCGATATGTTGGATTCCTTGAGCAATGAACGCAACATTTCCGGGGTACTGAAGTGTAATAACTTGTTAATAGCTGCGAGACACTTGTGTCGTACAGGTGGATTCACACTCGATCCATAAACCTGATGGTAAAAAATTAGTAAACAAAAGAGAGCAACCGACCCTCTTCACGAAAGCACGAAGACCGAACGATTGTAACACATTTAGTGGCTGTCACACCCCGAAACTTTTTGCTCACCTGAACAAGAACTGGGAAGAGATCCACCCCAAATTGTACAAGGAGTTCAGGCTGATCATGTAGAAGTTTCTCTCGGATTCCAACATCAGCTGATTCATGGCCCCTCTGTTCTAGCTCTGCTTTAGCGGCGTTTATCACTGTCGAATACTTTCTAGAAACTCTACCTCCAGCAACACCGTTAGAAGATAAAGCTCCGGTGGCTCCAGCTAAGGCGTCCGGCATTGGCGGCAGCAGCTCGTTCACTAAAGTCACAATTTCATATAGCTGCAAAACAGACCAGAAAATTGCCAAAGAGTTAGTGGTTTGTGAAGAGTTGCGGTAGATCCTAGTCGTATGGTAATCTTGGCTGTCTCAGGTGATGACTCGGGGGCTGGAAATAAGACTCATATTGCAGGTTTCTATGGATTCTTATGATCATGTGAAGCTGCAAAGCTTCTTGACCTAGTCTCCTCGTATCCTCTTGCATTCCTGGTGAGACTGAAAAGCATAAGCATAGAAGAGGCATGAAAAGTCAATGGGAAAAAGGTTTTCAATGTTCTGAAATTCATGGGTAGGTTAGTTCAAGGAAATTTCGAAAGATCAGCTAAGTGTACAGCTGGCTGAGAAGACAATACCCCTATTAAAATAGAAATATAAAATTCGGACAAGACATGATCAATCTTCACAATTCCAGGACAAACTCGTCCTGCGTCCAGAACGCAAATAACTGTTGGAAATAGACCCAATGTGCATCCTGTACATGACATCTACTGAACCCTAAATCTGATATAGTAATGAATCACAGAAATTGTGGAATTTAAAAAATTAAAAAAAGTTGCTGGCCTACACCACATTCCTGAACGAGATCCTCGGTAATCTGACGGTTTGCAACAAGTTCTACATGCGTGGTGGTTGAATTGATTAACCTGCTCTGGGGGCCGATTTACAGAAGAGGGAGACACAGATGTGCAAGACACAAGGCCAGCTCCCGCTAGAATATCCTTCAAAATGCTGCTAATCCGCAGAAGGAGTAGACTCTCGGCTGCAGCTGCAGACCCGCTTGCACAAGTTGATAGCAAGCGAATCAATCCCTGCACGACAAAATTAAGAAAAGTTGGAACACAACTCAAGCACGCACTGACAAACACGCAATTTTCATACCCTCGTGATAATGTAATCACCGAAAAACTTACCGTATAGGTCGACGTGCTTAATGATGTCTGGGGAACTAGGCTCCCCGATGAGTTCCCAACAGAAATTAATCGTGCAGCTTGTGGGATCAAACCATGTGAACACAGAGTATCCAGCTTTTCAGAAGACGAGGCGAATGACTCTGCGATTCGAGTCAAGCAAACTGAAGCATGCTCCACCACCTGACGGTCACCAACAATATGTCTGAGATCGTTCGAAAGAACTGACTTATTTTCCCAAACGAGATATCAATTCCGCAGCTTACCTTAGAGTCTTGATACTGTAGAAGGTTGGTCAAAATAGGAACAGCCTCGCTAACGAAGTCCGCGGCATCCGAAGGTAGCTGCCTGCAAATGTTTGCAGCAGTGGAGACTGCAACTCTCTGAGATCATCATGAGAGAAGGAGGTCAGCAAACCAAAGTGGCACCGAACCCTAAAAGGAGAACGTGAAAGCTCCTGGTTTGCTGAATTGCATCCTTCTTCCTTACACACTGTACGCGTCCATTTCTGTATAACTCCTATAACTCCTAGCTTAGCATGATCTACGAAGCACGACCGACCGGAATTAGCTTCCGTACTGTTTACCACCAAGAAACTCACCTGAACCCCGGTTGAGAAAAAGTCCAGATAAGAGAGAACCGCAATGAGTGCTCCCGCCCGAAGGCAGGCAGTTGGGTGCTCATGAGAAATTTTCTCCAAAGCTTGCAAACTCTGCAGATGACAATGACAACGTCGGTAAGACACTTCTGGCTCGCCATACTTACTGGATATCTTGACAAAGGACAACTGACACTAGCTACGTCAGGGAACAGATTCAACCCAAATTTGGGAACAAGATCATCCTAGACTGAACTACAGAAATATATCTCGAAATTCGGCAACAATGACATCCAAAAATCAAATCCTCATTGGTGAAAGCTCTCTCTACAATGAGCTTATGAGTGATCGCCAATAACTGAATTTGGTGGAAAAAACCTGATACCTCGATACCAAGTTCCAACCAGTCCTTGGTCATCAGATAGGTGACCTAAATGTACCTGGCCCATCCTTGATCTGAAACCCGTAATAGATACTACGATTACGGAGCACAGGAGCTGGCATGTATGAAAGCGAGTCCAAAAGACGTGTAAACTCCTAGATTTACCTGTTCCGCGAGGTCTATGTATTCAATGGTCAGCAGGCGAGCGCAAAAGCAAGGGACAGCTCCATAATGAACCACGGCTGCACATGAAGATGGCAGCACATCACACAAATGGGTCAAGGCACGGGCTGCCAGTAACATCATGTCCGGATTGTACTCATAATTGAGAAGCCCCACCAACACCGGAACAAACGAGTCTACGGAGAAGCTGCTGAGAGACTCCTCCGTTCCGATTGACAGCAATTCACACAGTTGAGATAACGAATCTAGTTGCCGCCCCTCCTCTCCTTCGGCACGGAGCCCAGACAAAATTCTTTTCAACCTGCTGTTTTGATGAGATGATGGTGTGGATGATGGCAGGAGGTCGTCCAATCCCGCCCCGAGCTTTCTAAGTAAACCATGAAGGGCGCTACTGGCCGACGCCAGATTCTGGTGAAGAGAACTTCCCCCTTCCCCGTCATGGTCATCATCTGCACCTCCGCTGGCAGCTGCAGGCGTTCTGTCCCTATCCCGACTACTACGAGTATCCTTCTCCTTATCGGGCTCCTTTTCCTTTCCTTTTTCTAATTCTCTCTCCTTGATCTCCTTTTCTCTTTCTTTCTCCGCTAATCGATCTTCTTCTTTCTCCGGTTCCTTCTTCGCTCCCTTATCGTGGGCGCGCTTCGAACCGGAAGCCGACGAATCAAGACCAGAATCCATGGCGGAACCAGATGTGGTAGGCACAATAACGGGGGTGGCAGGGGCAGCACGAGTGGAAGGGCGTGACCGCGGAGGGGCGAACGATGCAGACGCGGATGAGTTCGAGTTGTTCGCGGAAACACGAGCACGCTTAGACCTCGAAGGCGTGGCAGGGGATGGCCGATGCGACGTGGCCTCCGCCCGCTTGCGGCTGCGCGTTTCCATAAAAATACCCTCCCCCCTCTTTCCCCGACCCTCCCTTACCTTTCTCTCCCTCTCTCATACATTTTCCCAATCCTCTCGCCGACGCCGTCCTTGCGGTCCTGCAATTGTCACTCTCGCTCTCCCTCCAACCTCCCCAACCTCCTCAATTCATCGATTCCTCCTCGATCCCGCTCCTCCTCCTCCGTGTTTCCGTCCTCCTCCTCCTCCTCCTTCAGTCGGCAACAACAAGCCCAACAATCCTCCCACCTCCTCCTCCTCCACCGCCGCTCGCTTTCTCGCCTCCCTTCCTCCTTCTTCCTCGCTCGCCTCGTGTCACTGCACTCTCCCAATCTCGAAGCCCTCTCTCTCCTATCCTCTCTCTACGTCTCTGTTTCTCTCTCTGGCTCTCTCGCTCGCTCTCTCCCTCTCTCCTCTCGAGCTCCTCCTCCTCCTCCTCCTCCTCTTGCTGCTGCTCCTCCTTCCTTTCGTAACCTCGCTGTTCGAGACGAACCCTGCCCGCCTCCCTCGTCTCTCGCTCTCACGCTCGCGCTCGCTCTCGCTCTCTCGTCGAGGCTCTCCGGAGCCAACTCGACGATGACGAAGAAAGAAGTAGACAGGAGCAAACAGAAGAAGCCAAAGCTGCCCCTCGTCCTTTTTCCTCCTCGCTCGCTCGCCCGCTCGCTACAAGAGGAGGAGGAATCGCCCGCTGCGTGCCGCTCCCCCTTCGGACAAAACTATGACGGAGAGAGCCGAGCCCTTTCTTTCTTTATTGCCGCGGCCCCCTCTTCTTTTTCTTTCCCTTGCCAAGGGAGGACTGACCATGCCCGCATGCCCATCGGCCCCATCCATCATCGATGTGGGAAAAAGCACCGTATGCTCCTCTCCTGCGCCACACGATTCTCGAGCTACGTGTATATTCCCGCCTGATCCACACCGTCCACCGCCGAATCGTGTTGTACGTCGAGAACGATTCGTGAGCGCTCCCCCTTTAGCCTGTCCCGTGAAACCGTGCGCTTCTTAATAAAAGTATTTTTAACTCGGCCTCGACTCATGCTCATGTGCCGCACCCCTTGTTTTGGACGATGACAACGACCGACTTACGCTCCGTATCTTCCTGTCCTCCTTCGTCCTTTCGGTCTTACTTCACCATTACTTCTTTCGTTCCCTCGAGCATTCAGACTCCCGTCTTTCGTCTTTCTCCCTCTCTTTTGCAAAAACAAAAACAATCGCTGATTCCAGTTTAGTCTTATAAGTTTTTTTAAACAAATCCCTAGATTTTTTATCGTATCACCTTGAGACTTCTGCTTCAAGCCACGAATTTTGAAGTTATTTGTAGAAGAAATTTGCAGAGAGATTACCAAGTGCAGTCATAAAGAGCATTCAATTTGAATCATCGATATGATCTGGTATTATTTTTGAAACAAAGAATATCTCTCTCACACGAGTAAATTATTTGATGGGACCCGGAGAAACTCAAAACACATGATGGTATCTAACACGTTTCTTTTTACCGATGGTAAAAAGAATCGACGGCCTCTACAACCCACCGTCAATGATGTTCCAATAAGATTTGGGGTTATTTTGGTTAAGAAGATTAAGTCCCGGAGACGTCAAGAGTACTTCAGACTCGTGATGGTGTCCGTCGCTTTCTCAAACATGGCTACAAACTTCGAACTCATGGTGCCATGGCTTTCGAGTTAATTGATCGGAGCTCGGGATTATCCTCTCTGATTCAATCGGATTTTGGAAACGGAGTGCATGGCTAGAAAGCCAAACATATGGCTGGCCGGTCCTCGGTGACCAATACTCTCAAGTAATGACGTAGACCTGATTGCTAATTGATCGATTGATAGGAACAAAGAACAAACGAAAGGGAGGTTCTTTTGCATCTCCTCTTGTCTCGTGTGTCTAAATGTAAGTGCTTGCAGTAGGGTATGAATGTTCGATGGCTACAACGGTGTTGTAAATGACAAGTGAATTAACGAAAGCACAGGTCAGAAGATTGCTACTACTCATGATCCGTCACTGGTTATAAAAACTTTTATTGAAATAAGACTGACGGTGGGTTGTATGGCAGTCAAGTCGGATCCCATCGGGTAAAATGAAATCTGTTTGGTAAAGTTGTGAAGTTTGAGTTTCCCAAGGGTCACATCGAGTAATTTCCTTGTCCCACATTGACTGAATTTTTTGAAATAATATAAGTGATGAGAAAATTTAATTCCCTACTTTAATTTTTTAACTTCATTTGATAATAACCTTAAAAAAGAAACAGAAAATAATCACATGAAATTCCCATGTAGATCATAATTGAGTATCATGTTTGAGATTCATCACACATATCAATTGACAGCAATATCAGTTTCTACGCAATTTATATCTTATTTATTTCAGTACTTACGGAAAAATCCAATATCCAATACACCTGAACTTGTGTCGAGAAATACACAAAGAATCAGCCCATGACCGTTTCATTTTAAAACGTCCATCTAAGACAAATCATTGACATCTCTATTGATACAGTTATTCAAAAGAGAAGAAATCGCTGCACATTATTTTTGTGAAGATAGAATGTGCAGAAATCTAGAAGTGAATACAATGTATTTTTTCATCTTGAGATGCATAGACCGTCTGAATCTCAAGAAGAAGAAAGAGGTCAATATTTGACTATATAAGAAGGGATATTTGTTGAAGGTTATACTTAAAAATATATTTTGAGTTTTATCTATACATTCCACAGTTATCCCTACTTTGAAAGCTTACTATACATGTCATGAACTTCTGTAGAGGCTGACCTGAAACCTATGAATGACCGGTACCCCAAATGAAGACCACCGCGTACTATTGAACACCAGTTATGACAGAGGTTTTAGGGTTGGAGGCTGCCTTTTTACGGAGGCACATATAATACGTTATTGTTGTTGTAAGCCTTACCAAAAGCAAATGACGATGCATGATGTTCACAATTTTGAAAGTCGAGAAGAGGTTGCCAAAAGGGTGTCTGAACATGCAGGACTTACGGTGTATGAACCCAATACAACAGAGGTTTAGGGATACAAAGAGACCTGTAATATAGAATAGTAATAAAAATTTACGGTTGAGTTCCATACTTGACCATAATGAGCTACAAGTTACAACAATGGGAAGATCCAATAACAAACATCTTTGGATTACTTCCCGAAAAGTGCCATATGCGGTCATCATCGTCTCAAATTCTTCTTCAAAGGACCGAGAATTCAACATCTTCTTGGCGACACTAAATCTTAACGTCCCCACAAAACTTACACTTTTATCATGGTTTTTTATTACCGTTAACACCAGGCGAAAATAATATAAATAGCTAAATTAATCTCCTTCTTTTTTCTTGATAATCTGATTTGCCATGGCTTTGAAATAAGTAAATAGTATTTGAAAGTTGATGAATTCTCATTCGATACGTTAATGAAATCAGACATATATTGAAAATACAGATGGTTGTCTCATAATGAATGATGCCTCAAATTCAAGTCAGAATGTCATGTTTTTTTTTCTGAAAATGCTGCGAATGCTGCTTGATGAGGATGAGAAATGATTATCTAAACTCACCCCAAACATTCAGATATTCGGACAAGAAAGAGATGTGACTTCGGGACTTCAATTTTCATCCTCGCCAAATCTCGGACTTTATTTACAGATCAGTCAACAAAGTTCCATGACGAACCAGCTCACATGTTCTCAGTGGCCAGATTTTAAAGGTTAAACATAAATACTCTTTTGAACCCTAAAGAATAAAACACATCGTCACAACAAAGTAAAGAAGAAATACCTCCTCAACAGAGACGTGTTCTCCTTTAATACGGCTGGTGTAAGTTCTTCTTCAGTCAACCATGCATTTTTGCATTCTCTCGTTCACTAAGTACAGTAGGTATGTTTACTCCTCACAATAATGCACGAGCAGAGGGGACGCGCAATTGAACACATAATTAGCACACGCACCCTAAAACCATTTCGAAATTCCTAAGACCGAGGAATTCTAGCTAAAGTAAACACCTACTCTATAGTAATTGGTCCCTGCTCGCTCTTCCTTGTGTAGTTTGCTTGCGTACTAGACTGGAACTGTATCGGTTGCAATCTAACCTCTCTGGTTGTGGTCCTTATTCAGCTCATTGTCATGTCAAATGCGCCTGCTACAAGAACACTCTCCTTTTACATGGGATCCAACATGCAAGGCCAAAACAACCCACATACGCTTCTGTGATGTTGGTCACAGAAATATGATTATAACCTGTGTCTTCTGGTGATGTTAACTTCGTGTTCTGTTCCTAGCGTCCCCGTTCATCCCTGTTGACAGATATATTCATTTGTAAATAAATAAATAAATAAATATATATATATATATATATATATATAAGAATATGCTGTGCATGCATGTCATGGATGAAGTTGATGTGGGGGATGTAAAGGAAAGATACATTCACGGAACACTATGAACGGTGATAGGACACATGACTGAAAATTTGACTTTTACTAATTTTAGTTAGATGTATTTCGCTGCCAAATTTACTCTAATACGTATTAGCACCGGTGAATAGCACTACGCTAATTAACTATACTATCTACATTACTTAAGTGATTTCAAGAGCTCAAATGTGCCAGTAATGCAATGAAGATATACTATAAGCTATATGGTTTTCACTGTTCCGCTTTTGTTATCACTGTAATAGCTATTTCTGTTAGAGCTGACGTAATGGATTTACAAAGGCCGTTCACCATTATCTTTGTTGGAGCTCTTTTTATCACTCATCTCAAGGAGGCAACCTACGCCCACACCCGATCATGATTAGCACTTTGTCACGTTGATAAATTAGTTGTGTCCAACATGTCCTATAGACCATTTGAGCCTGAAGTTACTATAAGTAAATATATTTGGAGATCTACTCCCTCCCATCCCACTAACCTAGTGGAACCTTAGCTTCTAATTTAAATCCCTCCAATTTTGCAGCATAGCATTAGACCTTGTCATGTCTTTATTTCCGCAAGATTTAACGCAGTTAAGTACTTACATGTGTAACTTAAACTTACATGTGTAAAACATGGACCATATAATTGCACTTTAACAACCTTGAGTTCAAGAACGATCATATACTGACAAACGTGGGAGAAGAGAGTGAGAATTGTTTCATATAATTGAAAGACTTTTTATGCGAAAACAAATGATTTTCTCAAATATGTAGCTTTCTTATGTGAGAAACTAATTACATGCATAATCTTCAAAGCAATGTCCATTGACTACGTGGACAGAGAAAATTTCTTTCCTCCTTTGGTATATTTATGTTTCAAGATTTGAGTTGCTTTAATGATTTAGAGATATGGATCGTGATAAAACATATAAAAATATGAAACTCTTCACATACTTGTATGTGAATACAATACAATATGAGAACAAAAGATATGAAATATGATCATTCTTGGAAAAATAGGTGTGTGTATATATATATATTTTAATATATATTCTTACTTACAAATTACCTTCATAAGTGATTTTTTTTATCAAATATTAATCTAAAAAATCTTCATAAATGTGAAAAAATTACTTGATTAGATCTCTCAGAAACTCAAAACACTTGA